AGGATCAACACGGGGAACAGGCGATGCTGTTTAAACAGGAGCCAGACACACGAAAACACGGATCGTTTTCCTCGCACACAACATCTGCTGCTACCACACCTCGGAGGAGACCCCAGCTCTCTCCGCCTCCCCAGGACCAGGCGTGCGCGCCACGTCCTTTGGGGAAGCCCCAGCTTGGTGGCTCAAAGGGTGATGTGGACCCTGCAGGTAGACGGGGCCAGGGCCCCGATCCGTGGGGTGCACGATGTGGGGAAGTTGGGTCTTCCAAGTCTCATCGTCCAGACAGGACACCTGGGGGCGGGCCCGACCCGTCCTCTCTGCTGTGCTGCGCCTCACGCGCCTCGGTTCCCTGTGGCTGCCGTGCCGGGATTATTGTAGAAGAGAAAGGTGTCCCCGGCACATACATCACATCCAGGATCCCCATGGAAAAGACAGACGGTCACCCAGAAACAGGGTCGCTGTGGGCGGGGCCTCTCTGCATGCAAGGGAGGTGGCCCGGGGAACCAACTTGTATTTAAAATGAAGGAACAGGGATCCCTGGGTGGCGCAGCGGTTTAGCACCTGCCTTTGGCCCAGGGCGCGATCCTGGAGACCCGGGATCGAATCCCACGTCGGGCTCCCGGTGCATGGAGCCTGCTTCTCCCTCTGCCTATGTCTCTGCCTCTCTCTCTCTGTGTGACTATCATAAATAAATAAAAATTAAAAAAAAAAATTTAAAAAAAAAATAAATAAAATGAAGGAACAGAGCTTAGGGCAGAGACCCCAGCGCTGGAGGCTTGGACAACGGCCACCGGGAAAGGCCCTCTGACAGGCCGAGAGGACAAGACAGTCACAGACACCCGGGGTGGTGACCAGCTTCGCTGTTTCCGCTGTCCAGCTGTCACTTTGATTATCACCTACTCCCTGGAAAACCCCAAGGCCTCTGCCTCTCAAGTGAGAGACCATCTGCTGTTTGTGCCCCCTTGACGGCAAATACCAAAACAGTTATTTCCTCCCCAAAGAGCTGAGGCGATGGGGCCTGGGAGATGAAACTGACCTTGCAGATGAGCCAAGATCGAGAAACAAGGAAGGACTGAACCCCCCAAAAAGCAAGGAAAGGTGCAAATCCAGGCAGGAAGCTGACAGCTGACCTGCAGCGGGTTAGGGGCACCTGACTCTACGTCGCTCCTGTAAACTTTCATACAGAGAGGTGAGGAGCTCTGTCCGTGAAAAAGGAGAATCGAATACACCACAAAACAAAAATAAAATGGGGTGGGGGTGCGGGGGGGGGTATATGACACTATCCCTGAAGAGCAACACAGTTGATCTTGCCCAGGGAAAGCTTTTTAGTCACAGAAATTGAAAAGCGAAAGAGTGTAAAATGACATCCGTTAAGTGTGCCCTTTGCCCCAGTTTCAGAAAGCCAGAGAGTGTAATGACCAATTTATCAGGCTATTGAATTCAGGGTCACTCGGTGTGGAAAACCAGCACATAAACCAAAGTGTGCAAGCGAGGGCAGACACGGGCTCGGGCTGCACTCCCGATCCATTATGGTGGTTTCTCCAGTAGCCAATCCAGAGAGAGCGCGGAAGACCCCGCCACACCTGTGTACCTGCAGTCAGGTGGGTCCCTACTGGTGGCTCATCACATTCATCAACTTTAAACACCTGAACAGGGGCACCTGGGTGGCTCAGCGGTTTAGGGCCTGCCTTTGGCTCCGGGCATGATCCTGGGGTCCCTGCATGGGGCCGGCTTCTCCCACTGCCTGTGGCTCAGCCTCTCTCTGTCTCTCGTGAATAAATGGATAAAACATTAAAAAAAAAACAACAACACCTGGACAGACTGGCTGCCCAAGGCTCAGCGAGAGAAGGGCCTGCCATCCCGGCCGGTGACAGCTTTGGGGGCATCCCACGGAGTCTTCTGGGGGCTGGACCTTGCTCCTCTCTGAGGATGGCTATATTGGTTCAGAAAACGCAGTAAAAGACGAGCTTCAGAGCCCATATCACTAGACAGCTCATCAGAACAGATTTATTAAAGACGCAAGATCCAGTGCCAAGGGGCGCACAGGTGGTCAACAGCAAAAACCACCACGACTGAAGTGAAAGGAAGAAGACGTCTTACGCCAGCTCCCTGAATTGGGGGGCAGGGGTGGTGGAGAAGGAGACTGCAGACTTGTGCTTTCTCTTCCGTGCACGGGGCTCATCAACGCTCATCAGTATTGTACAAATATAACACAACGACGTACGATACCATGTACATCAATAGAAGCCACCTGGGCCCCAGCTGCTACAGTTGCCTCACTGTCAAGGGGCAAGCCCGTCCTCCTGTCCTCCCCCCAGCTGTCCCACAGTATGAAACCACCTGGCTGGGACACCTGGGGGGCTCAGGGGTTGAGCCTCTGCCTTTGGCTCAGGGTGTGATCCCGGGGTCCTGGGATCGAGTTCCATGTTGGGCCCCCCTTGAGGAGCCTGCTTCTCCCTCTGCCTGTGTCTCTGCTTCTGTGTGTCTCTCATGAATAAATAAATAAAATCTTAAAAAGAAAAAAAAAAAAGAAACCACCTGGCTAATCTTACATGAGAGGATTCAGGCCCATAAAAATTCGGGGCCCCTTAGCTGGGAAGGAGGGGGCGATGGACCAGGTAAAATTGCTACTTGAGATTTGTGTTGCCAGACAAGCTGGTGGCCGTGGTCCCTGAACAGTCAGCCAAGTTACAGAGCAAAGAGCGTAAATTGACCTACGCGGTAAATACCACTTCTGCACCGATCGGCCTCACACTGGACAAACCACATACACAAGGAACTAAAAAAAAAAATCAAAATGTTTTGACCAATTTTGCTAAACGGGATAAATCCAAATGATGGTCATTAATAATTTTTTATATTTTTTTAAATAAATTTTTTAAAAAAGTAACAAACACTTGGTACGTGCCAGGCACTAGGTGCTTTGGATGGTCATTGCCTCTGAGGCAGGTAGAACCATCTTTGCTGTACAGATGGGGAAACTAAGGCACAGGGGAATTAAGCCGGTACAGTGCACCGGGCTAGGTATCTGAACCCGGCAATCTACTTCGGAGGCCACGTTTGCAAGCGCTGCACGGAGCCACCCCCAAACCAGGGCAGCGAGACCTGTGCAAGCAGGTGGGCTGCGGAAACCCGACCGCTGTCTTCTCAAATGCCTTTATACGAGGCCCGGGAGGTTCTTTCTGGACGAAAGAGAACTGTTATTAGCAGCCAGTGGTGACATGGGATTCGTCTCCACTCCTTTGCTTTTTATCAATCATAAGGCAGAGCGAACCATGTTGTCTTGGCTGCAAAAAAGAGGGGTCAGGAAGAGCGTGTGCGTGCGAACAGCAGGTGTCCGTTATAGGGGAGGAGGCGGCGTGCGCCGCCGTTTCTGGGGCGGGAGCCTCCTGGGCCTGAGGCCTCCAGTTCTGTCCTAGGTGCATGAACTTGGGGAATCTACTTCTCTAAGGCTCAGGGCTCCCATCTGTAAAATGGGGATAACCTCAGTCCTGACTTTACGGGCTTGTTTTTAGGATTAAGTGAATTCACTTAATAATAATCAGAAAGTTCGTACACAACAACCATCACTGCGGAAGGATCTTAAAATTCCACTGATGAGAACTTTCTTCAGCTATCCTGAGATTCTGCTCCCACGAACAGTCCACAAGCCACAGAGAACACAGTGAGTGCGTTCGGCACACACGTGCCTCCCCGGACCAAGAAGGGGCAGCTGTTCCTAAACCCTCTGGTTACCACCCCAGGATTTAATAATCCTTTCGTTTGCCAAAGTTTTCCTGTTCTTACAAGCCTCTGATGGTCACTAATCAGTTAATTGTTAATATTTCTAACGAGGAATTTCTAAAACTAACACACAGATTTCTGAAAGTTCTCTAATCAATCGATGGCAGACTGGGAATGACTTGTAGGATCTGGGCTTCTGCAACCCACCGTTTGATGACCCCCTTCCTCACATGGCCGCTGTTTTTTTTGTTTTTTTGTTTTTTTTTAATTTATTTATGATAGTCACACAGAGAGAAAGAGAGGCAGAGACACAGGCAGAGGGAGAAGCAGGCTCCATGCACCGGGAGCCGGACGCGGAACTCGATCCCGGGTCTCCAGGATCGCGGCCTGGGCCAAAGGCAGGCGCCAAACCGCTGCGCCACCCAGGGATCCCACATGGCCACTTTTGACAACCATTTCTTACTTCCAGATACAAGAATTGGGGCCTTCGGGTGGTAGAGAAAGGTCCCTAAGACCACAGGGAGGACCTGCCCAGCTTGCCCCCCGAACTTGGGGAGGCAGGTAAACAAACTTGAGAGTGGGGGGTGGGGAGGGGGGTGTCGCAAGACGAGATATGTCGTTTCCATCTCCGGAACAGAATCTGAACTAGATTGTGGCCAACATATGACACCAACTTCGGAGTGTGGGAATCACAGGATTTCAAGATTCACCGGCTCCTGGCAGGGTTGCTTAGGTTATATTTAGCAATCTTAAATTGCCTTTTTTTTTTCTTTCTCCTTTTTTTCCCCCCTACTCTTTCTTTCTTTCTTGGGCCTAAAGGAAGTGAGTTTCCTGACATGCGGTTCTCACAGCCAGCCCACCCACCCAAGGCCCAGGGACACGGACGGTGCGCGCGCTGCTGGGCTGCAAGGCACCCACTTCGGGGGGGCTGGGGGTGCGCGCGGGGGCCCCTCCAAGTTCTCGTTCGCGTGCTCCGACCCTACAGCCAGACAAAGACCGCAAGTTGTCGCGTCCACGGGCCCACGCAGGCGGGGGCGAGTCTCCCCGGATGGGGTCCACTCCCGGTGCGCCGCGGGGGGTCCCCAGGGGGCCTCTGCGTGATTGGGGGGCTCCCCCCGCCCCGCCCCAGCCCGGGCCCGCGCCCCTCCCGGCCCCGCCGCTGCAGGCCCAGCGCCCCGCGGCGCCCCCTCCCCGCCCCGCAGAGGGGGCGCCGCCCGGTCCCCCGCGGCCCCCTCGGGCTCCGCCGCCGCATCCCCCGCGCGAGCCCCGATACCCACCCGGGTCCCGCAGCGGGGGCCGGATTCGCGCCGGCTCCCGGAGCCTCCACCGCCGCCGCCGCCGCCGCCGCCGCCAGTGAGGCGCGGTGGGGCGGGGATGCGCGGCGAGGCCCGGCCCCCGGCCCGCCCCCTCGCGCCCCGCCCGCCCCGGCCCCTCGCCAGGCCCCTCGCCGGGCCCACCCGGACCCGCCCCCGCCCCCGCCGCCCGCCTAACCCACCCGGGCCCGGCCCGCCCCGGCCCCCAGCCCGGCCCAGCCCGGCTGCGACCCCATCCAGCCCCTCGGTTCGCCCCAATCCTGCCCCAGCCACCTCGCGCCCTGGCGACCCGCGTCCCCTGCCCTGGGCCGTCCTGATTGCGCGTCCCAGGGCCTGCCCCCGCCCGCAGGGAAGGCGGCACCCCTGGGCCGCTCCCCGTGCGCCCTCTCCACCCTGTTTGCGCCTCTCCTCTTTGGGGCAAGGAGGGGGATCACCCATCGCCCACCCGAAGGCCCTTGAGCATCCCTCAGCCCCCCCTCCTCGGGGGCCCCAGGTCTGCGGATGGATGGGCGGGCTCCAGGCTGCACCCCCACCCACCCCCACCCACCCCGCGGGGGGTGCTCCGGAGCCCCTCACGCCCCCACCTCGGCCTGCCCCGGGGTTCGGGGCACTGAGCGGTCGCGGGTCCCCGGGACATCGGAGCTGCCTGGCTGGACGCTCGTGGGTGGGCACGGTTGTCGCTCTGCAGCCCCCGAGCCAGGCGGGACGCAGCCCGCACTTAGAGACGGAGAAACTGTTTATGTCTCCATGTGTCTACACGGGTGGGTGCTGCGCGCCTCCAGCGCGGCGGTGGCACAAAGGCCGCGTCTCCGCGGGCCCCGCGCGTGGTCCCCGCCCGCCGGATGTTGACGGCGTCGCCTAGCAACGGGAGATGGCGGAGCCCGGCGGGTAAGCGGAGGGTTAGGGTCTCCGCGCCCCCACGCCTCCCCCGTGCGCTCACGCCCTTTCCCCCGCGCCTCTGCCGCGTCCATCCCCCCTTCCCGCCTCCCCGCCCCCCTCCCCCAGCCCTGCGCGCCCCTCTGCTCTGCGGTCCCTTTGTCAGCTCCGGTCCCCTCCCTCTCTCCCCTTGCTTTGGCCGCTGGGCTCTCAAACCCGGGGCTGGCTCGGCCCGCAGTAACCATGGCAACCAGGATGCTTGGCCCTGAGTTCCCGTCCTTTGAAATAAAGCAGGAGGGCGCAGGGGCTGGTGGCAGGGTCTCTACCTGACTCCATCTCTGTGTGCGGGGGACCTTCACCGAGGGCCTTCCTGACCGTGGGGACCTCGCCCTTTCCTCTGCTGCCCCCAGGCCTGCAACGGGGGGCTGGGGACAGAAACTGTTTTTTTTTTTTTTAATTTTCATTTATTTATGATGGTCACAGAGAGAGAAAGAGAGAGGGGCAGAGACATAGGCAGAGGGAGAAGCAGGCTCCATGCACCGGGAGCCCGACGTGGGATTCGATCCCGGGTCTCCAGGATCGCGCTCTGGGCCAAAGGCAGGCGCCAAACCGCTGCGCCACCCAGGGATCCCTGGAAACTGTTTTAATGGGACACCTGGGTGGCTCAGCAGTTGAGCATCTGCCTTCCGCTCAGGTCGTGATCCTGGGGTCCCGGGATGGAGTCCCGCATCCCACTCCCTGCTTGGAGCCTGCTTCTCCCTCTGCCTGTGTCTCTGCTTCTCTCTCTGTGCGTCTCTCATGAATAAATCAATAAAATCCTTTTCTAAAAAAAGAAATAATTTTACCTTAGGCGTTTCAGTAGTGTTCCACTTTTTTTTTAAAAAAAAAGATGGGTTTATGTAAACTCACATGGAAAGAAGTCCAGGTTACATGCAACGAAAAGACTAAATGGAAAACAGTATGTAGAGTTGTGATCTCTGATTGTGTGTGGGTTTACAGGCGTAGAAAAATATTGGAAAGAATGTTCCGTTAAATCTTTTATTACCACTGGTTTTCTTGAGAAAGGGAGGGAAAACCACGAGGATTTTCATTATCTGTGTCACACGTTTGTGTATTAGTTTGACTTTTTTTTTAAAGGAGCTTGTATTTTTTTAAAAAGATTTTATTGATTTATTCATGAGACTCACAGAGAGAGGCAGAGACACAGGCAGAGGGAGAAGCAGGCTCCATGCAGGGAGCCCGATGTGGAACTCGATCCCAGGACCCCAGGGTCACACCCTGAGCCAAAGGCAGGCCCTCAACTGCTGAGCCACTTAGGCGTCCGGAGCTTGTATTTTTAATTACGAAAAAATAATTTTAAGAATGTAAATCATGACATTCTTGTACTATCTAAATCATGGAGAAACCAACCAAGAGTCTCTAGAGTAGTCACTTTTGTGCAACTTTCTCTTAGTCTATATTTCTGTTCCCCAGTTTGGCCCCAGACACAAGTTTATTTAAGGTGACTTTTCTGTTATCCTCTACTTGTGCTGTTCCCTGAATGTTTCCATAATTATTTTTCATGCATTCATGGAGCAACTCTTTGGTGGCACTCCCTCCCTCCATGTGACAGGCATGATCTAGTATTTGGACAAAGTCATGGCCAACTGCCTGGAGGGGAGGCAGATCATGAGCAAGTAAATAAGAATATATCCAGACACCGGGAGGTGACAAATGCCAAGAGAAAGAACACTGTTATTTGAAACTGTTAAACTGTATTTCTGCAACCAGGTCTCAGCTGGAAGGCGAATCAACTTCTGAAGAAGAGGAGGCCCAGAATCATGAAGGCGACAGGGTAAGGTTCCCTGTGGGGTGGGCGGTGCTGGGCTTGTCTTGACTAGGAATTAAGGAGTTAAGAGCTGTTCGAGAAAACCGTAGTGGGATCCTATGCTTTGCACTAGAACAGACTCGGCCCCATCACTGGCGGCTGGTCAGGATGTCCTGTGTCTCCTGCTCAGATCACCCTGAGGTTTTCAGAACTCAGGTTCTGTAACAAAGGACGCCAAAAAATTACAAACACTGGAAGGAAGAGATAAAGCACGGAGCATAACCTCTCAGGGACACGCAGGCCTGTGCGGATGCAGTTCTCCCGCAGTACAATTACACGACTAAGAGCAGAACTTCTCGGAGCCTGTGCCTGTGTTTCCTGACTTCTCCCCCCCCACCCCGCCCCGCCACATATCTGCAGGTGTCACCCACTGGGAAGAGCAGTGACCAGAACGATGACGAGGCTGTTGGTGCTGCCGAACTTTCTGAAGAGGAAATTACAGCCTTTGAGGAAGTCACAACGGAAGGAGAAATTGAAAGCGAGGGGGAAGTGGAGACGGATGGGCAGGTGGAAACGGAGAAGGAACCTGAGTTCGAAGGGGGATTCGAATCCGATCTCGAAACCGTATCCCTCGAGGAGAAAGCCAGTTCCACGGATCTGGCTTATTCAGAAGTCGGTGGCTGGGAGGAGGCCGAAGAGGAAGTGGGCCCCACGTACCCGTTTGAGCAGATAAGGAGGGAAGGCGTTCCCAAAGACAGAGACGCCCCCCATCCATCCGAGGCCAGAGATTCGAGGGACCTCTCCACGCAGCCATCCCAGCAGGCGGTAGGCTCATCCGAGCAAGCAGGCCCAGACGCTTCTGGAGCCAGGGCTAGCAGATTGGTAAGCAGCCCCAGGGTCTATCTTATCAAAGTGTTTACTGTGGTTTGTCACCCTACGTGAGGGATCGCAGGGCATATTCTAAAACCAAACTGCAATCTCTGTTGGAAATTTCTAAGCAGACTTGGGTCTCAGGCCCCACTGTTGAATGCCAAGGGTTCCTGGGCCTTTCTTTGGTGTTCCCAAGCCCAATGTAGGGGACGTTCCATGTAAGGGCATCCAGGTTTCTGGTCTCCAGAACAGTACCGTCCAATGGCACTTTCCATGGTGATGGAAATGCTCTTTATCTTTACTGTCCTACATGGTAGCCATCAGTCACAAGGGGCGACACAGAGCACTCCAAATGTGGCCTGGGAGATGGCAGAACTGAATTTTTTTTTTAATTTTTTTTTAGATTTTTTATTTACTTAGGATAGTCACAGAGAGAGAGAGAGAGAGGCAGAGACACAGGCAGAGGGAGAAGCAGGCTCCATGCACCGGGAGCCCGATGTGGGACTCGATCCCGGGTCTCCAGGATCGCGCCCCGGGCCAAAGGCAGGCGCCAAACCGCTGCGCCACCCAGGGATCCCCGGAACTGAATTTTTAATGAAGATTCTAATGAACTTAAATTTATATAACTGCCTGTTGCTACTGGCTACCCTACCAGACAGGGCAATTCTAGACGATAATGATTTGTAATGACAATAGTTATGGTCCCACACTTTTCCTTTGTTGTTGTTGTTTTTAAACAAACATGGGCTTACAGAAAAGTTGAAGTATGATTAGAAGCACTTTTTATTTTTATTTTTTTAAGGCATGGAGAGTCAGTCGACGATCTGATGCCCCAACTTCTTCCAAACACTTCTGTGTGTGTGTGTTTCCCACAACCAACCACAGTATAACTGTCAAAATCAGGATATTTCATTGCATTACCAAATAATCCTCAGGCCTCATTCACCAACTGTCCCAACGATACCTTTTAGAGCAGAGGTACAGTTCCAAATCACATGTTGCCTTTAGCTGTCCCATCTCTTAGGTCTTAATCTTTCCCTGACTTCAGTTACCTTGACTCTTATGAAGATCACCAGCCAGCCACTTTTAAAATGGCTCTTGGTTTGGATTTGCCTGGTGTTCCTCTTTAAAAAAAAAGAAAGAAAGAAGAAAGAAAGAAAGAAAGAAAGAAGAAGAAAGAAAGAAAGAAAGAAAGAAAGAAAGAAAAAGAAGGATTTATTTATTTATTCATGAGAGACACACACAGAGAGAGAAGCAGAGACACAGGCAGAGGGAGAAGCAGGCTCCATTCAGGGAGCCCGATGTGGGACTCAATCCCAGAACCCTGGGATCATGCCCTGAGCCAAAGGCAGACACTCAACCACTGAGCCACCCAGGTGCTCGCCTAGTGTTCCTCTGGATGCGATCTGAGTTACCATCCTTGGAAAGGGGTCACAGAGGGAGGTTGTGTTCGCCTCGTGTCCTATGAGGTGGTACATGACTGAAGTTTGTCCCATTACCAATGATGTTGGTGTGGATCCCTTGATGGAAAAGCACCAGCCTTCTCCCCTGGGAAATTACCCTCCACCCCTCCCTTTGCATTTAAGAAAAATTGTGTGGGAAGGTGCTCTTTTTGTTTGAGATAAGAAAGTGAGTATTTTAAATGAAAAAAAAGATCACAACAGATGACCACCATATTTTTAGGAGTTCATATTTCTCTTAGCAGCCTGTATAGGCCCATCTCTTGTCAGATTTACCCCTAACTATTTTGCATTTGTGATGCTATTGTAATCGGCTTCCACTTATTTGTTGCTAAATCGTATGCAGCGCTGTATTGTATATAGAAATACGACGGATTTTTGTATATTGATCTTATATTCAGCAACACTGCTAATCATCCTTGTTAGTTCTAGTGGCTTTTTTTTTTTTTTTGGTAGAATCCATAGGATTCTTCATAAAGATGATCATGTTGTCATAAAGGAGTTTAACTTCCTTTTCAGTCTGGATGCCCTTTATATCTTTTTCTTGCCTTCTTACACTGGCTAGAACTTCCAGTACAGCACTGAATAGAACTTGTCCTCAGTGTGGCCAGTGAGAGCCCATTTAAATTGGCCTGTGTGTCTTTCTAACACACCAGAGTTGTTCTTTTTTTTTCACCACTGTCATCCTTGGAACACTTTCTCATTCTCTGGTACATACCACCCAGCCCTAGAATCAGGCATTTCTCCAGAGGCCTGGTTTCTTTTTTTAAAATTTATTCATGAGAGACACACAGAGAGAGGCAGAGACACAGGCAGAGGGAGAAGCAGGCTCCCTGCGGGGAGCCCGATGGGGGACCCGATCCCAGGACTCCAGGATGGTGACCTGACCAAAGGCAGACGCTCAACCACTGAGCCACCCAGGCATCCCAGGAGCCTGGTTTCTTTTCATGGAAAATAACGTGTAGAAGTCATGATTTGGGTGCTAGATAATCTCTCTCCCATTAGGATGTCACTGTCCCCAGGTCTCTCAGTATCATACACAACACACATACACACATACACACCACAGAGCTCACACTAATCCCTCTCTGACTCCTCACCACTGAGTGGGTTCCCTTCAGTGTCCTCTCCTCCCATACTTCCAAGTCCTTTGTCCAGCAATAAGCCTAGCCCCCATTTCCCATGTTTTAATTTGATCGGTCTCCCGGATGTAACCTTCACTGCAATTCTCCACCCCCAAGTGGACGCTCCTCACCCCACCTGAACCCAGATGCTCCCACACTGGACTGTCCTTGTCACCCTTATCACTGTTGGACCAACCCCACCCAGGCCAGCCCCAAATATTTGGGCTGTGACTCTGTGCAGGGGACTCTTGTCAGCAGGCCCAGGCCTGTCACGTGTGCTGTGATGACTCCCAATGGGACGGGCTCTGATACCCACCCTCCTCACCCCACATTAGGGTAGCCTCCCACCCCCCACTACTGGCTTCAGCTCTGAGTTGTTCTGGAAGGAAAGCAAGGAGCAGGGTTACATTCCTCCATCTTCGACTCTGGTCTGGACATGCCTGCACCTTTGACATTGTGTCTCAGTGACTGACAACCATACAGGGTGGGAACTATTATTATCCCACCGTACAGATGAGGACACAGATAGATGGACTTCCCTGCCCAGGGTCATGCAGCTGGGATGGTCGCTCTTGCTCGAAGCCACCATTCTGAACCACAAAGCCACGATCCCACCCCACCTGGTGACCCCTAAAAAGTTAATAACTTTGGAGAGTGACATGATTTGATGATTGCTAATTAAGCTCAAAAAACAAGTGTCTTCACCTTGTAAGATGTCCGGAGATTTGAAGTGCAGGCCACTAAATGAGCTATAAACTCAGCTTCCATCCTTGGGTCTCGTTTCCAGAAAACTCACAGGGATCAACCAGAAGGGCAGAGGCAGACCTGAGAGAGAAGCCCTATTTCCCTTCCTCCCGGCTGGTGCTCAGCCTTCAGAAGGAACAGGAATTGGAGTGGGAGCTCCTCAGTACCTCGGCGTATGGGTGCCTCACTGCTTTCACAGTAGGAGAAGCCCCTGATGGACACCCCAGAGGGCAGCACTTTTGACTCTGGGTCCTCATTACTATCATTATGGTTCTGGCTGCTTCAGAGAAGTTTCTGGAACCAGCATTATCTGAGCAAGTATTACATGAGCTAGGGGTTGAGGCATCCCAACTCTGAACCAGCCCATGGCCGACTATGTGAACTTCAGGGAAGGTCTTGAGCTTCTGTGAGGCTGCTTCCCCTCAGATAACAGAGGTGATGCCTATCTGCCTCACAGAGTGTTATGCAGGGTCATTCCTGTCACCAATACTCACCAGGTCATCATCAGCAATAATTTTTTTTTTAAATTTATTTATTTATGATAGTCACAGAGAGAGAGAGAGAGAGAGAGAGAGAGGCAGAGACACAGGCAGAGGGAGAAGCAGGCTCCATGCACCGGGAGCCTGACGTGGGATTCGATCCCGGGTCTCCAGGATCGCGCCCTGAGCCAAAGGCAGGCGCCAAACCACTGCGCCACTCAGGGATCCCAATCATCAGCAATAATTATTGCCAACAATAATAATGGCAAGTGTCTCTTTTATTATTTTATTTTATTTTTTATTTATTCATGAGACATAGAAAGAGAGGCAGAGACACAGGCAGAGGGAGAAGAAGGCTCCATGCAGGGAGCCCGATGTGGGACTTGATTCTGGGACCTTGGAATCAGGACTTGAACTGAAGGCAGACACTCAACCACTGAGCCACCCAGGTGCCCCCCAAGAGTCTCTTTTAATATTTTTTAAAGATTTTATTTATTTATTGGAGACGAGAGAGAGAGAGAGGCAGAGACAGAAGCAGGCTCCATGCAGGGAGCCCGACGTGGGACTCGATCCTGAGTCTCCAGTATCATACCCCAGGCTGAAGGCAGCACTAAACTGCTGAGCCATCTGGGATGCCCAAGGGACTGGGATGCCCAAGAGACTCTTTAAAAGAGTCTCTGTTAAAGCTAAAATGGAGCATGCATTTTTAACAAGAGTGGATTTTTTTTTTTTGAATCAAAATGTCCCAAGGTAGGGACCCCTGCATGGCTCAGTGGGCGAAGTATCTGACTCTTGCTTTCAGTTCAGGTCTTGTTCTCAGGACTGTGAGTTCAAGCCCTGAATTGGGCTCCATGTTGGGTGTGGAGCCTACTTTAAAAAAAACAAAAACAAAAACTAACAATAACAATAGCAAAAACACAAAAGTGTCCCTAACCTGGAATCTTTTGGAAAAAGAGAAGTAGAAACAGCCCCTCTGGGAGACCTTCGCCTGGGGCTGAGGTTTTCCAGCATCCTTTTATAAAGAGGATGCTTGGAGATGTTGCTTACCATCCTCGGGGAGATTAGCATTTGGGAGTAAAGAAACCAAAAAAAAAAAAAAAAGAAAAAAGAAAGAAAAGAAAAAAGAAAAGAAACCCATGTACGACACACACTCATGCCTTAGCGTTTACATTCTGCTACAGCTCTAGACAGGCAGAGGCCAATCCCGAATTCCTTGTGGGGGTGGAGGGTGGGGGCAGGTAGGTGTTTTCTGTTTTGGAAAAGCCAAATAACCTTTACATCCAAATGGTTTCCTATTGCCTTAGCAGTTATGTTGAATCTTGAACACTGCGAGAGATCAAAATCAAATAACCTCTCAGTCCGGATGACGGCCTTATTGATTCAGGTTTGGTTGTTCTTGCTCTAGAAAAAAACCAGCGAAGAGCTCCCGCAGGAAGTCTTCCCTCTGGGGGCACAACACCACCTTCGACTGAGCCAGGGGAGCAGCAACACCTCCTCCGACTTTGACTTTGAGAAGCTGCTCCTGAGCGAGGAGGAGCCCGCAGAGGAGCCCGTCGTCGGGGAGCCAGGTACTGGGGCACCGGCAGGTTGTCCTGCCCACGGGATAAGCCCCTCCCCATCCTGTTCTGGGTAAGGGGTGCCACTCGTTTGCCCTGTCTTACCTCGCTTCCTGTTCAGCCGTGAGCTGAACGACAGAGATGTCATTAACGGATATGGATGATACGGATGGAGTGTTCCCTCTGTTTTATCTCACGTCATCCTTATAGTAGCCCAATGACGTAGGAGCCATTCTCCCATTTTACAAAGACCCTGAGAGTCACTTAGTGACCCACCTGGGTAAATGACAGAGCCAGGCCTTGACCGAGCCTCAAAGAGTCGCTCAGCACACCCCATCCCGTACCCCAGTGTTGTGGACCAGGGAAAGCAGACCCGGGTATTTCTTATCCCTTATGGGACACGTGCATGGATGGCCCATGCACACCTCTGAATGAGTTAAAAACAGGACAGGATCTCTCCAGCTCAGGCAGATAGGAGAGCAGAACTAGAGCCTCCCTGATTCTTTTTTTTAATCTTATGAGCTGTTTCCCATTAAAAAAAAAAAAAAATCAGGGCAGCCCTAGTGGCTCAGCAGTTTAGTGCCGCCTTCAGCCCAGGGCCTGTTCCTGGAGACCCGGGATGGAGTCCCACTCCCTGCATGGAGCCTGCTTCTCCCTCTGCCTGTGTCTCTGCCTCTCTCTCTCTCTCTCTCTCTCTCTCTCAAGAATAAATAACTAAAATATTTTAAAAAATCAATATAGTCCATACGCAAGAAGGCACCTTCCTGTTCACTCACTGTGTCTAAAAAGTATCTACAAAATTTATTTCTTTCTTGGAATATATTAAAGGCAATTAATACACATTACCTTTAAAATGCGATCCTTTCTACAGAACATGTTGAAACCAACGCATAGAAGATTCACGAACAGGAGACACCGTGGGTCGCGCTTCTGAGCCGTCACCCATGGGAAGCCTTTTCGTTGTCTTTTCCATCCTGTCACATGAGGTTGGAAACCAGCCTTGCTGGACAGCACCTGCAAGGTGGCCTCCACAGCCACTGTATGAACCCAGTGATGCTTGCTCCGTCCCCAGGGGTCCCCCCAGAGGAGCCTGATGCGCAGCCCGAGGGAGGAGCCGAGCCCGCCTTCCTGGACCGGATCCAGCAGCTGAGCACCGAGGAGGGGATGGTGGGGAGGATGGAGTCCGAGGGGAGCGACGAGGCGGAAGAGGACAGACAACACCTGGTGGTTCTGGACCCCGACCACGTAAGGACCCCCAACACCTGCCCACCTGCTGCCCAGGCTCGCCTCTGCCCGCGCCGCCAGCCCCGCCCCCACTTTGTCCCTCCGTTGGGGCCGCTGCTCCTTGAGGTGCCCCCTTGTTTCCGTCTTATCCGCCCAGAGTCAGCCGTCCTCGACCTCAGCGCTGCCGCCGTGGGGACCTGGTCACTCCCCGGGGAGGGACCATCCTGGGTGGCACCCCGGCTCCTCCTGCCAGACGCCAGGAGCACCCCTGCCCCTTAGCCGTGACATCCTGGATGTGGGCTGGGGGCACAGTCACCCTACTGACAGCCGCGGCTCTGAGGACACCTACTGGGTTCCCTCACCCCACCCCTCTGGCGAGCCGGGCAGGCAATCCTGCTTGGGTGAGCCCGGCTGGAAAGCTGGTGCTGCCCACGGTGTGGAAAAGCTGGGCGGTCCTCTGGGAACAGAGGCTTGGGGCCCTTGACCCCTCGTCCTTGGGGTCAGGGGCATCCAGGACCACCACTCCAGCTCAGGGCCCCTCACCCACCCTCGGCCCTGGGGTCGAGGGCACCCAGGACCACCACTCCAGCTTGGGGCCCCTCGCCCCCCCCCCCCCGTCCCCGGCGTAGGGGGCATCCAGGATCACCACTCCAGCTTGCCCGGTCATTTTTGCCAAAATACTCATTCAGGTCTTCAGTGCATGGGACGGGACCGTGGTGTCCTTAGTCTGGCTGCCAGGGCAAGTCCCGGGCAGAGGTGGGGTGCCCCCAGCCTGGACGTCCTTCCTGTCGCCCCAGGGAGAGCTCTGGTGACTCAGGTCACGCCCACATGGCCCGACCGTAACCAGGCTTCCTTCCCCGTTGTGCCAGCCGCTGATGGTGAGGTTCCAGGATGCCCTGAAGAACTACCTGAACCGCCAGATAGAGAAGCTGAAGCTGGAACTTCGAGAGCTGGTGCGCGTCCGTCTGTCCAGCCCGTCTGTCCCCCCTGCCCCCACCCTGCCCGGCATGTGCCCGCTTCCCGTGACCGGGCTGTCTCTCTGCTGCAGAGCTTGGCCACCAAGCAGAGCCGAGGGCAGCGGCAGGAGCTGGGGGTGGATCTGTACGGGGTCCAGCAGCACCTGGCCCGCCTGCAGATGCAGCTGGAGAAGAGCCACGACCTGCACTCGATCGCCGCGCGCGCCCGGCGGCAGAAGGAGGCCGAGCTGCAAGCCGCGCGGCTGCTCTACACCCGGACCTGCGAGGCGGCCGACGGCGAGCGCCGCAAGCGTAAGGCTGGGCGTCCCGTGGGCCGCGGCCACGGGGGGGAGGCCTGCAAGGCACCCCGCGTGCGACCACAGGGCTCCAAGGTGCAGGGCGTGGGCGCCTCCCGGGGGGCGGGGGGAGTTCTGTGGTTCCGTGGGAGAGGAGGTGCCGTGGTTAGGAAGCAGCCGATGTGGAAACCCGAGAGGCAAAGGGGGAAGAGGCTGGGGGGCCACTGGGCGTGGGCAGGTTTGAAGAGGTGGCAACCCGGGGGGGAGGCTGGTCCCAAGCACACGGGCCCGGGGGGACGCCCTGGGACGACGCCCCTGCACCTGCCGGGCAGTGGCCACTCTGAGCCGCCGCTTGCTGGCTCTGCTGTGAGCGTTTCCGTCTGTGGGTTTCTTTATGTTCTAAGTTTCTCCATCAACGACGTGATCATCATGGTGGGGGAGCAACCAACTCAGACCCAGACAAAGACTGAATCACACGGACGCCCCAAGTGTGGCTGCAGAGAAAGGATCCTGACCCTGAGAGATGCAGAACTTTCTGGATTGACAGAGTCGGGCTAAGTGCTCGTTTACCAAGCATCCTCCCTGATGTCCGCCAGAGTCAGAAAATACTGAGAAGAGAAGAACGCGACCACTTTCGTGGGGACGCAGGAAAGAGTCACGTGCACTCCGGATGGGACAGGACACACAGGCCCACACGCCCTCCGCGCCAGCGGCCCTCAGTGGAGGCGGTGAACGTGGCTGGGGCTTCTGGAGAGATGCAAACATCCTCTTGGGCGTCGTGTCCTTTCTGGAGATCACCGGGACACAGGAAGCCATTCAACCAGCAAGGATTCCAGAAACATCACGCTTCCTCCCTTCTGAGCACTAGGGGATTTGGTGCTGCCACCGCCCTGCCCCTTGGGCTTTGCCACTGGAGAATGTCCTCGACTGCCCGCCTCACCTGGGAGGGGGTCACCGAACCTTCACATCAAAATGTGAGTGCTCGGCAGCACCTCCAGACTCGGGGGATGGGGCTGGATGGACAGAGCGGACGTGTCCAGGGGCACGAGCCTGATGCCAAAAACAGACGGGAGTGCGAGCGTGCACCGGGTGGTGTTCTGCGTGAGACTTTAAAAGACGTCACATCAGTAAAATGAGAGCAAACCGTCAGGGGAAAAGGATACTTGGAATTAAAAAATATAACCATCTTGCCAAAACAAACAAACAAAAAAAAAGATCACTTAACAGACAAAGCAGTATTGCCGAAAATCAAACATGTGAACCGAAGAGGCCAGTTTGAGGAATCCTTCCCCAAATTCAGAGCAAAAACTGCAATGGGTGGGACTTTTTGAGGAGGAGAAACAAGACGTGGAAGTCAGACCTGGGACCATCGACACCCATCAGGCGGAAGTCCCGGGAGATCAGGGGCCCACGGACGGCATCAGAGAACATCTCTGCGCGAGTTCAGGAAAGGTGGGTCTTCAAATATAAAGACGTACAGAAGGCCCGACAGCTGGAAAACAGAATGAACGTGCCTAGACACAGCGGGTGAGATTTTAAAAATTCCAAAGCGAAAGGGAAAAAAGTGCTGTCGGCCTCCAGGCCGGACAAAACCTGACTCCGGCAGGCGGAGAGCAACCCGCTGGCCCTGGCACGGGCCCAGGGGGACGCGGCCACCGGGGCACACGCAGCCTGGCCCACAGCTCCCATTCAGCTGCTGTTCGAAGGAAGGGCCAGGATCTTTTGTTTCTTGCCCTGGTCTTGTTTTCTTTTTTTTTAAGCCTTGCAGGTTATCCTAATGGGCAGTTGGGGCTGAGACTCACGGATCTCAAACATCGGTGACAAGGTGGCGATGCTCGGGACATAAGAGGACAGAGTCCTGTCCACATTGAGATCATTGACCAGCCCGGATTAATGGCAAAGGGGAGTCCCCATATCAGAGCTCCTGGCCGCGTGGAAAGCACTCCGGTAAGACTCATGACCTTCGCACAGTTTTCATCAACAAGAAAACAAGACTTTCTACTCGGAAGCCTGAAAAAGGACAAGTAAACTAAAAGAAATGGGAACGAGGAGTTAATAAAGCAAAATAGCAGAAACTGGTACCAAAAAAAAAAAAACCCAAAAACAAAAACAAAAGCAAAACAAAGAGTTAACCTGATAGAGAAAAATAAAAATACTCAGTTTTTGAAACGACCAGCAAACTGAGTAAACCTGTGGCATGCCCGACAAAGAACAAAAAGGGGTGTAGCACAAGCAGCAAACCCCAGGAATGAGGACAAATCAGAGGCATTACCGCGTTTTTATTTCAAGAAGGCCACACTCTGCACTGGTTTCATTATTGAAAACATTGGAAATGTTGTCCGGCCTCTATCTCCCCAGAAAGCACCAGTCTGTATGTCGCGGAGGAGTCCTCCCCACTACCCGCGAAAGGAACAGACGCCCCCTGTACTGCTTAACCCTGAGAGGGGCAGGGGGGGAAATCTGGGAAACCTCTCAGGCTCGCTTTACAATGCTTAGGTTAGGATAAACACTCCCTGCAAAGGCGACAGCCTCAAACACAGCAGTCTCCGCCCCGTGAGGCATGAAAATCCTAAATAAAATAGTAGCCGACTGAGTTTGGCCACATTTATTAAAAGAAAAACGCCCGGCAGTCAAGAAGAAGGGCTTCCCTGCAGAATTCAAGCATCGTTTGAAATTAAGAAGCCTGCTAATTTGACGCATTATATCAATAAGTCGGAGGCGAGGGTGGAACAAAGGATTTTCTGGGTGGACCACTTCCCAAACTAGTTCTCTATCGTGTTTTGAGACACGAACAAGAAACACTGGAGAAGGTGTTAGGACGGAGACGGGGACGCTGCCAGCACCCCCTGGGTCCTACTTCAGGGGCTCCGGCAGGCAAAATAAATGAGGTGCGGATTTGGGACGTGAAATTCCCACTGTCTACCAATCGTAGATTGTTCACCTAAAAGATTTAAAAAAAAAAGGCAGTAATAGAAACGGTAAAGAAATCCATAAAGTAGCTGAATGCCAGATCTAGCACTCTCTCCTATCCCAGTAATATCCAGTTAAGAACCAGACTGTTGTTAAGAGTCTCATCCACCACGGTTATAACAACCATAACATACGTAGAATAGATCTAACAAGGAGTGAGCGGAGAAAAAACGACAACATTTCACTAAGGGACGTACAACAGATTTCAATGAATAAAGCTCCCGTGTTACTGGGAGGAAAGCCACCCCGTATGCAGGTGGTCCCTGCCGTCCCGATTAACAGGCCGTTCCGTGCCACTCCAGTTAAAGTCCACGATGCGTTGTTTGTGGTGAACTTAAATTTATTTGACACAGTAATTTGTTTATTCATGTTCAAGGAGTAATCAAAATTTGAGAGCTGTGGGATGGGAATCCCTTTCTTCCTCCTCCACAGAGGCGGATTATTGATTCTTGTGTGTTTCATTAAAGGTATTCTTGCGTGTAAAAGCAAAGCTACAAGGGCATCTTCTCTAAAAAAAAAAAAAAAAAAAAAAAAAATCAAATACCTGCATGTCACACCCACTACTCGTCACTGACCGAGGCGTGCTACAGAAGATTCCATTTGAATATATAAAAAGCTCTCCATTGGCCACAAATTGATTTCAAAGTTGCCTTGGAAGAGTAAATGCACAAGAATACCCAAGAAAAATTTGAAAAGGGAAGATAATGAAGGAAAATTGTCCTATCAAAACACAGTATCAATCGGCAGCAATAAAACCAGGACGGCACTGAAGGAAAAAACAAAAAACCAAAAACAGGCACTCGGATCAATGGTGGAGAGCAGAGGATACCAGGAAACTCATGTGGGAATTTAGCTATTTACTGCAAATTATATATATGTCCAGACTGCCTTTTTAAACCACTATATATATTTTTTGACTGTTCGGTCTCCTGAAAATAAATACCCAGACCCCTATTTCACACTGTACAAAATATACAGTCAGCTACCAAAAATAAGTAAGTAAATAAATAAAGTAAAATCAGCTACTATAAATATTTAAGGAAATCACAGAAACGTTAGAAGAATATGGAAGATTGTTGTGTTTTTGTTTGTTTCAGTTTTTGTTTTTTTTTAATAAATTTTTATTTATTTATGATAGTCACACAGAGAGAGAGAGAGAGAGAGGCAGAGACACAGGCAGAGGGAGAAGCAGGCTCCATGCACCGGGAGCCTGACGTGGGATTCGATCCTGGGTCTCCAGGATCGCGCCCTGGGCCAAAGGCAGGCGCCAAACCGCTGCGCCACCCAGGGATCCCTGTTTCAGTTTTTTAAAATAATTTTGGGGCGAGGCAGGTCTCCAGAAGCGTGATGTGAAAGTACGGAGACCAGAGAGGAGGAGTTTGACAGTGTTGCTCCTATGAAAACATAAAAACATATCAAGAAGCACGACAAAGTCAGAAGACAAACACAAATTGGGGCAGGGGGGACCCCATTGGCACATCAGTGACAACCTCCATGTGTTCTGTGTCACGGTTCCGTTGCCGGGAAATAAATTCCCACAGACTTCGAGGCTTGAAACAAGCGGGTGTATCTGGGCGCTCACACGGCTCGAGGTCAGAGGTCTGGCTGGGCCCCCCGCCGCCACCCCCCCGTGGGCATCCCGAGGCCGCACCCTAAGTGCTGGTTGGCTGGTTCTCTTGTGAACACCCGGGAAAATCCGACTCCGGGCTCGTTCACGTCGTTGACAGAATTCAGCTCCTTGCAGCTGCAGATCTGAAGTCCTGCTTCCTCGTGGGCTGTCGGGGTGGGGGCGGCTCTCAGCTCCTGGGGACTGTCCGTGTCCCTCGCCGTCAGTCCCCTTCCCTCTCCAAGCCAGCTTTGCAGACAATCCCCTCTTACAGGATCCCATTCACCCTGCCAATCACCCTCACTTCCTTTTTTGCCACTCTCTGCTTCTGGAGGGCTCGCCTGCTTAGGCCAGGCCCACCGGGCAACTTCCCCTGGGACTGATAACGCGACATGGTCGCAGGGGGGCTCAGCAGGACCCGAAGGCCGCGGGAGCCATTCTCAAGTTCCGCACCCCCTGCCTTAACTGCGTCAAGACTTCTTCGACGCCGAGCAAGGAGAGACGAGCGTCCCAGTAGCAGTGTGGCCGAGGCCATGAGCCGGGGACTTGGAGGAGGGACAAACACGTTCATTAAAACAGTAAAACCAGGTTCAACTCCACTGATCTGAGAAGAATGCAAACGTAAACAAACGTTGGGAATACGGACTTGTAGTTACTCAACCAGCCACCGAAGCAAAGCAGGTGGAACTCCGGGCCCCGGGGGGCAGCAGGGCTCCCGCACGTTTCAGGAGGCCTGGGTGCGGCGCCCGGTCAGCGCGGGCGGCCGAGGGGGCCGAGGTCCAGGCGTGGGCAGAGCGACGGTTCCTCCCAAGGCCTCTCTCCTGGGCTTCCCGCCGCCGCCACCTTCTCCCTGTGGCCGCATCTGTGTCCTGATCACCTGTCCTCGTGAGGACACCAGCCGAGAGGGGTTAGCCCCCCTCATGTGACCTCACTTTATGGTTATTATCTCTGTAGAGACCCCGTCTCCAAAAGCAGTCCCCGCCGCGGCCTGCCCGGGCCACCCCGAGGCCTCCCGCGCCTTCCCTCGCCCTCCCTGGCGCCTCCCCCCACCCCCATAGTTCCTACCCACGCAGGACCCAGAGACTTCTCCCTCGGTGGGATTTTTACAGTCCCCTCGGGTGCAAAATAATGTGTTTCAGGGTTAAGCTGCAACCCTTCGAGGACACCTGCCACCCAGCACGGTGAATTTATATTTATATTCTACAAATCCGTCTTCTGCGTGGACCAATCCACTTAGAAAGGAACGCTCCATGCGAGGGAGCAAACTGCTGTCGCTGGAGGGTTAGCTCCCCGAATGAATGGGTAATCTGGCCTTCTTACTCCATCCCCTGTGAGTTTTGTTAAAAGGAGTCAGTTCCTCGGAATGGGGTCCCCTCCAAGTGGTGCATGGAAATCCGCCGTCTGGCTCTGAGTCAGGGAGTGGGTAGTGCCGGGCCTCGAGGACAGCTTGGGTGCTCCCGGCCTGCACCCCACGTGGCCATTTACGTATGGGGGGACCTCTGGCGGAGCTCTGCACCCCCTCCGGCGGGATTCCCCCCAGGATGTAGGGCCCTACCTAAGACTGCCAACCTCTACGCGGTAAGAAATCTGTAAAATTTAGCACGGGGCCTCCTAGCCTGCCCGGGTCTCAGCAGGGCCTTGGACCCGGGGGGCGCCTCGGATACGGGGGGCAGTGAGGCGCTGGTTGCTCTTGCTGGCCGTGGATTGCCTACGTTTTTGTCTCTCCAATTAGACTGTAGGGCTTCGATGGCAAAGTCGGGGTCGTGGTGGCTTAGGAGCAGGTTCCCAGGCTCGGCCCACAAGGCAGGAGGGGAGCGTGCAGGGGGCTCCGGCCCCGTGGCCATGCACCGGGTGCTGAGTAGCCATCGTCCCCGTCCTCCCCCCACAGTGGCGGCTCTGCAAGCTGAGCTGGAGAGGCTGGCTCTGCACCTCTTCTACATGCAGAACATAGACCAGGACGTGCGTGACGACATCCGTGTCATGAAGCAAGTGGTGAAGAAGTCAGAGGCGGAGCGCACGCGGGCCGAGGTGGAGAAGAAGCAGCAGGTATTGTGCAAATTCGATGCAGGTGCAGCTACCACCAAACCCTCCATTTCCCGAAAGCCCCTTTGCTCTGCCTCCCGCGTGAATTACCGCAGCCCCCCGGGGTCTCTGGTGGGGGTCGAGGTTGGTGGGGGCCGATCCTGGAGCACCCGCGGTCTCGCTCCCCAGGACCTTCACGTGGACCAGCTCACCACCAAAGCCAACCAGCTGCAGGAGCAGATCGCCCTGCTGGAGGCTCAGAGCTACGCGCAGGCCGAGGACACGCGGGCTCTCAGGAAAGCCGTGAGCGAGGTAGGACAGCAGCCACCTAGTGCCCGCCTCACGGCGCCGGCCCAGAGCACCCCAGGGCCAGGTGCATGGCTGACGCCCTGTACCCCACTCAGCCTGCCCGCTCCCCCACGGCCGCGTGTCTCCCTGACGATGCTGAGCCTGGGGCCACCGGTGGGCAGGAGGGACTCGGTGCAACGCCACGGTCAGAGGCCCACGCTAGGAAGCAACATTGCTGGGCCTTTGTTGTTTGTTTGTTTTTTTGTTTTTGTTTTTGTTTTTTGTAAATCTGTGAACAACTATCTGCAGTCATGTGTTCAGAACAAGGCGAAGGAAACAAGCTGCTCTTATTGGGGAAAAGAAAATCCTTGAACAAAGGGACAGGCACACCTGGGTTCATAGGGGAGAGCGGCCCAGACTCTCCAGCCTGTGCACCTAGAGTGTGTTCTTTTTTTTTTTTAATATTTTATTTATTTATTCATGAGACCCAGAGAGAGAGAGGCAGAGACACAGGCAGAGGGAGAAGCAGGCTCCATGCAGGGAGCCCAATGTGGGACTCGATCCCGGGACCCCAGGGTCACGCCCTGAGCTGAAGGCAGACGCTCAACCGCTGAGCCACCCCGGGGCCCCTCTAGAGTGTGTTCTAATCAGAATCTCGGGGGGGGTTGGTGAGAGGCAGTTTTTAATTAGCAGAGAGACTCTTAGGTTTATCTGAAGCATAAATTCAGGGGAATGGCCAGGAATCGTTCGGGAAGGAAAGTTCATGACACGTTTTTGCCGGGAACTGAGGGGTTTCCTGAGACATGGGACTTCCTGTGCCAAAGCCAGCAGAGCCCCGGACACACCCGGGTGGAGGGTCACCCTCGCATTGCCCCACCAAACATTACCTGCTACTAAGCCCTGACAGGTAAAGTAATGTGTTCCCGGAGTCGGGGGACAGACGGGCAGGCCACAGTGGCCCATGGGTAGAGCCCTGGAGGAAGCAAACGTTTACATAAAACTCGAGTGGGTTATAAATTAGCGGAGAGCAAGCGAATTGTGCACAATGCAGGAGGGACGTTTGGTTAATAATTTGGGGGAAAATTAAACCTTTTCCTCATACCAGACACTAAAATAAATTCCAGATGGGATCAAGAATTTATATATATATATATATATATATATATATATATATATATATATATATATATATTTTTTTTTTTTTTTTAAATCCGGAGCGGCAGAGGCTTTTGTAAGCACAGTCCCGAGAGCAGACCCTCTAACGGAGCAGACGGGGAGGGTGAGGCACATGGACCATGGCGCCTGCGGGTCGAGGGTACCAGCAACAAAACGAAAAGACGGGAGACCCACCAGGGAAAGACAGGCTGGTGTGGGGGAGAGATTGTGCAAAACAGTGAGAAGCCCCCTGAGCCCGGTTCTACTGTGTGCCTGATGGACATCCACGCGATGCTGTAACGTTTCCTCTCCTGACCTCCTTCTGGGCCTCCTGCCCCCTCCCTGCTGGAGGTGTCCCCCCCACCCCAGGCAGGGCCGCCCTGTGTTCTCTCCACTTTGCCTTCCTGCACCTGACACAGCAGGTGCGCCACAGACATCCGTGAACCAACGGATGAGGAACCGTTGAGAGCAAGGGCCTGGCAGGGACCGATCCTACCAGGCTCACCAAGAGGAAGCAGCCAGGGAGGGGTGGCCCTTCCCTGCAGCCTCCCACCCACCCCCCAAAACTCCGCAGCCCCTCCCAAATACCACCTGGGCTTCATCCCAAGGAAACTACTGAAGATGCACACAAGTAAAAATGTCGCACATTCAAAACCCCACAAGTGGGACGCCTGGGTGGCTCAGGGTTGAGCGCCTGCCTTCAGCTCAGGGTGTGATCCCGGGGTCCCTGGATCGAGTCCCGCATTGGGCTTCCCCATGGAACCTGCTTCTCCCTCCCCCGTGTCTCTGCCTCTCTCTGTGTCTCTCATGAATAAATAAGTAGTCTTAAAAAAAAAAAAACCCTCTCTCCACTGCAGGCCTGCACAGAGATCGATGCCATTAACATGGAGAAGAGGCGCATCCTGCAGCAGTGGGCCACCTGCCTGGTGGGCATGAAGCATCGCGACGAGGCCCACAGAACCATCCAGGAGGCGCTCAGGTATGGGTGCACCCGCACCCCGGAGGGGCTGGGGGCTCAGGGCAGCGGGTACACACCACTGGGCCCCCACGTCCTCCCAGGTGGGCCTCCCAGGTGGGCGCCCATCCCACTGGACCTGCTGGGACAAAGGGCTGCACCTGCAGCCCCGCAGCCCCGCTTCGACGCCCAGAGCTCCCTGTCGTTCACCAACATTCAAGGCTTCTGAAGCCTTTTCAAACTTTCCGTGGTACCAGGAGCAGCAGAGCTCTCTGACCAGGCCTCCTGGGAGGATTGGGGGAAAGAGTGCGAGGAGGAGAGAGGGGTATTTACGTCTGGGAGAGAAAGGTCTCCCTCTGCTTTGCTTCCCACCCCCTGCGTGTGGAAACCCTCCCTGGGCGATTGTTCCGCGATGCATGCCAACCGGGACCCTGACCTAAACTCCCCGCAGTGCGGGGGGGGGGGGAGGAAGAGGACCCCCCTGCAGACCCCTCGCTCCCTTCTGTGTGGCTTGGGTTGTCAGGGGCAGGGGGTCCGGGGCCCAGCACTACCCTAAGTTCCCAACCCGCCCGAGTGATGGGGCCCCAGGTGCGGCGCCAGGTCCTGGAGGTCGCACCCCGCGCCCCATGCCCACCCGGGGAGGACAGGGATGAGCAGTGCACGAACCGCTTGTCAGCTCCACAGCACGGGGCCCAGGGGTTGACAGTAGGAGACACTTTCCGTTTTGGGCCTAATGATTAGGAAAAAAACAAAACAAAACAAAAAAAAACCACGAGGCACGCACACTGCAGGGCTCCTGGCTTGGCTCGTTGGCTGTCGTGCCCTGGAGATCTTTCCAAATCTGAGCATGGAGACTGCTGGTTCCTCCCTCTCCTGGTGCCGCCGGGCTGCGTCTGGGCGGCGGGCGGGTGACCCACACCTGCTTCACTGGTGCTGCGGCGTGTACCTACGTCCAGGATTATTGTATTTTATGTCATGCTCCATCATTATCCTCTCTGTCGAGCCTGAAGTTCTGGGGGACGGACATGCTCAGATCTGCAGGTATTACTACCCCAGGAGGCTGCGACCGCCTCAGCCCACGGTGGCATTCCAGAGCCCGGGGAGAGCTCGGCATGTTACACGTTTGGACTGCACCCATCGGACTAATGGGGAAAAAAATCATGTTTTTGAGCACTCTTTTCTTTTAGTCTCTTTTTTTTTTATTTTTCATTTTAATTTTTTTAAGATTTTTATTTTTAAGTAATACTATACACCCAGCGTGGGGCTCAAACTCATGACCCCAAGATCAAGAGTCACATGCTGGGGATCCTTGGGTGGCTCAGTGGTTTGGCACCTGCCTTTGGCCCAGGGTGTGATCCTGGAGTCCCGGGATCGAGTCCCACATCAGGCTCCCAGCATGGAGCCTGCTTCCCCCTCTGCCTGTGTCTCTGCCTCTCTTTCTCTCTCTGATATACATAAATAAAATCTTTAAAAAAAAAAGAAAAAAGAGAAGAGTCACATACTGTAAGGACTGGGCCGGCCAGCCACCTCCTGAAATACCATGTTTTTATTTTATTTTATTTATTAATTAATTATTTAATTTATTTATTCATGAGAGACACAGAGAAAGAGAGGCAAAGACACAGGCAGAGAGAGAAGCAAGCTCCATGCAGGGAGACCGAAGCAGGACTCGATCCCAGGACCCCAGGATCCTGCCCTGGGCTGAAGGCGGCGCTAAACCGCTGAGCCACCCGGGCTGCCCAATACCATGTTTTTAGAATACAACATGGCATGGTAGGTTGGGAGAATAGCTTAGCCAAATAGTGCTCACACGTGCATGCACACACACGACAGCCCTAACGAGTAGCCGCCGTCTGGTCCAGCTGTCCCTCCTACAACCACACGCGGCCCCAGAGGATGAGGCCCATCTTCAAGACACGTTCCCCCGTGGGACACCGTGAGAGCTGCGAACTGTAACTGCAGAGACGCGCCATCTGCGTCCGTGTAGGGCTGAAGGAGGCGATCTGAGCAGTTTAACCGAAGGTCAGGCCGTCCCAAAACAGAATCCCGCCCCACGTACGCCAGGCCGGCTCAGCGGCTGCAGGAATGGCAAATACCAGCCTGTAGCACAGAGTCCGTCTTGGAAGATGCAGGAAGGTCGTGGCGTCCTGGCTGATGGCCGGGTCGCCCTGTGTGAGGCCAGCACCCCTGTCGTGGTCTGGGTGTGGCGGGACCCTTTACCCTGGGGAGTCCCCGGGCCCAGAAGCCAGGGTTTGCCATCGTGTCTCTAGTGCATCTGTGTCCTCGGGGTCAGTTCACAGGGACAGGGCTTAGCAGAGGCTGACTTGAGAGTGAGAATGCCAAGGTCCAGCGTCCACTGGGAAATGTGAGCACCGAGGGGCTGACGCTTGACCAGCAGAGTCTCACCCATGGGAAGAAGCACAGGGCTGGGGACAAGCGGGTCGCTGCTCAGGGAGTGTCGGGGCCCCGGGGCCCGCCAACCTCCTGCTTCTCCCCAGAGCACCCGCAGTCCATCCACACACTTGCCTCTGGCCGCTCTTGCCTCGACGGGCCCCTGCCGTCCCCCGCCCACCCGTCCTCCCTTCTGACACCCGTGTGACTTTTCCTGATAACATGACACCCTCAATCAGGTTCCAGCCAAATTCTGCTCTTCCTCTTCTTGGGGACAATCTCTGCATCGACGCCGAGTCTACAGTTTAACTCTTAGAAGATCCGATCTCCCGGTGCTTGGGGCGGGGGCACCGCAATATTGCCCCGTGGGTCTCATCCACGAGCTGCAGGTTTGGCCAAAAGCCGGAGCGTTTCCTGTCTGTGCCTGCCTGCTGGGCCACCGCGCACTGTCATGAAAACACAGGGGAGGTCCACCCGTGTGGCTCGGTCTCGGTCTCGGTCTCGTTACCAGGCCACAGCGCCTGCTGCAGGAGGGCTGGAGCCTTGGCCTCTACGCCGTCCACACTCCTTCGCTTTCATTCCCGCAGAGGGACGGGCGGCAGAGGCGCTCTCCTGACAGCCTGGGGTGGGGTCCGCGGCAGGTCAGGTGTGGAGCTCAGAGCCAAGCAATAATAACGGGATTTGACAGCCCCGTGCTCAGCTGCGCCTGGCGTGGCCCCGCAGGCCCTCGGAGGGCGGCTCTCTCATGACCTGGATTTGCCAGAAGAGGAGGGAGCAGTGGAAGGGCGTGTGGTGTGAGTGGACGTGGGCCCTGGCACAGTGGCCCCACCGGGCCTCCCTCGGCTGGGGTCTGGCAGGTGGCACCGCATCCCTGCCGAGGATAATGCGGGGCCACAGCACAGACAGCATCCATCCAAGATGTGCCCCCAGACAAAGGGGTGCGGCGAGGCCTTCCGGGACTGCTCTGACGCCACACTCCATCGTGCTGGGGGAGGCCGAGCGGCCAGCTGTCCAGCAGGGCTCGTGGAGGCCGGCCGGAACACCCCACTGATCTGGACCCAGCGGCCCCGGGGAAAGCCCGTATGTGACCTCTGGACCGGTGGTCACTTTAAAGACACTTTAAAGGGACACCTGGGTGGCTCAGCGGTTGAGCATCTGCCTTCAGCTCAGGCCGTGACCCCACAGTCCCGGGATCGAGTCCCACATCGGGGTCCACGCAGGGAGCCTGCTTCTCCCCCTGCCTGTGTCTCTGCCTCTCTCTCTCTGTGTCTTTCAGGGATAAATAAAACCTTAAAAAAATATAAAGACACTTTAAAGACCATGGCTAGCCATTGAGTGTTTGCAACGTGAGGGACGAAGTTCCAGCCACAGGTGAATAATCATGGTTGAGACCATAGTAAACACCAGAAGTCATATTTTCAAAGGAAACATCTCTCAAAAGAGGCAGAAACCACAGACCATACGGGCTTAGCCTCGGGAGGGGTGGCCGCCAGCTACACCTTACACTCCCTCGGGGCGGGGGGCACAGCTGGGTCTCCTGGCGCCCCGCCGGCAGACTTGTCTTACTTCCCTAAGGGAAATGCAGGGACTGCCTGGTGCAGAGCCCCCTGCCCCGGGATGTTGGGCTGCAGCAGAGATGCCTCCAGACCCCCAAGCAGATTCCCTCTCAACCCTTGAAGGGATCAGGCCCAGGCGCACGGGCCGTGCTCTAGACTGCACCGGTGTCGTTCTGTTGTGTTGGTTTTTTTCTATAGTTGTCTGTTAATCAAGTAAGTTTTTAAAGTATGTTTTTAATTTTAATTTTTTCTAAAGATTTTGTTAAATCATGAGAGATACACACACAGAGAGAGAGAGAGGCAGAGACACAGGCAGAGGGAGAAGCAGCCTCCATGCAGGGAGCCCGACATGGGACTCGATCCCAGGTCTCCAGGATCACGCCCTGGGCCAAAGGCGGCGCTAAACTGCTGAGCCACCCGGGCTGCCAAATTTTAATTTTTTAAAATTATTATTACTTGTCCAGTAGGCTCCACACCCAGCATGGAGCCCAGGGCAGGGCTTGTTTTTCAACATGGCGGCCGGAGTATCCAAGGTCTCCATGGTTTGTCTTTCATGTCTAGGGCGAGATAAGGCCTTTTCCAGAAACTCTTTCTAATCTCTCTTGAGCTTAATCCCACCGAGTTTCATCCCTACCACCCCATAGGAACCATGATAAATCATATATGCTGACTCCATTGTATGGACGCCCAGCGTGGAGCCCAACGCGGGGGTTCAGACTCACGACCCTGAGGTCAAGACCTGAGCTGACTGAGACCAAGAGTCGGACGCTCAACCCACTGAGCCACCCAGGCACCCCGTTAAAGCTTGTTTTTCGCTTTTTTTAAAAATAACTTTTATCGAGGATCAGTAATCACATTCCAGGAAACGTGAAAAACAAAGAGAACGGTTTACAACACCACTGTCTTCTTCCTTTGGTGACAATGGCAATTTATTAGCATTTTGGGCACTCACAGGCATCTCTTCTCCCTTGCGTATGTCTCGCCGCGTGTTCAGACTTCTGTCGTGCAATTTGTGACTGCGTCTCTTTAAATTGGACGTCTTATTTTTATTGTCAGATTTTAGACATTTATAAGGCTGCTACTTCCTAAAAAAGAAAATGAGGAGCGTTTTCATTTTTAGTTGGGTTTATTGAGGCTAATTTATGTACAAATTTCTTATGTATAAAAGTTCTCCTTCAGTGCACAGCTTTGTGAGTTTGGCAAATGGACGGAGGCAAGTACCCCCGCGCCCACCGCATAATGGGCCGCTTCCTCCATCCCAAAGCCAGCATCCTCTCCCCACCTCCGCCCACCCGGCGAACACCCCTCCAGCCCTGTCCTTTCCAGGATGTCCTGCAAATGGAATCACGCGGCGTGCAGCTTTTCCCGTCTGGCTTCTTCCACTCAGCTCGCTGCTTCTGAGTTTCATCCCCACGTGGGATGTTGCAAGATCAGTTTGTCTCCTGTTCTCGCTGAAGAGCGCGCCACTGTGTTCCTCGGGTCCCCAGTTGACGGACCTCCCGTTGCTTCCAGTTTGAGGGTGTCATGGGGAGAGCTATGGTGACAGCATGTACCGGTCTCGGCGTGCACGTGTGAGTCCATTTCTCCTGGGCGAACGCCCAGGCATGGGATCGCTGGTTAGCGCATATTTTACATGATAACAAACCGTCAGTGCATTTTCCAATTTGGTTTGTTCCATTTTGCATTTCCCCTCCGCCCCACAGCAGTGGGCGAGATTCCCAGTTACTCCCCCGTCCTCACCAACACTTGGTATTGTCAATCATTCTAATTTTAGCCATTAAATTCAGCCATTAGTAGCTGAATCGTGGTATCACAGGGAGTTTAAATTTGCATTTCTAACGCAAATGACTAATGATGTTGAGCATCTTCTCAGGCTTATCTGCCACCCATATCCCTTCTTTTGCTCATTTTTAAACTGAGTGGTTCATCTTACTGAGTTACAAGACTTGATGTGTTCTTAGATACAAGTCCTCTCTTTTCTCCCAGTCTGTGGCTTTGTCTTCTCACTCTCACAAGGGTGACTTTGGAAGAGCAGAGACTCTAAATGTTGATGAAGCCGATTAATTAGGGTTTTTTTTTTTTCATAGCTCATGCTTTTTATGTCCTCTCCAAGAAATCTTTGCCTGACCCATCATGAAGTTTCCTTCTGTCTTCTGCTAAGCTCTTCCATGTGGGTGCGTGGCCCATCCCAAGGTTATGTCTGTCACGACATGAGACCCAAGGTCGGTTTGTTTGTGTGCCTGTCTCCAGCAGCCCCAGCACCACTCTCCATTGAAATACCATGTCACCTTCGTCAAATATCAATTAGTCATGTGTGTGTATGCGTGTTGGTGTGCCTACCTGTGGACTCCTTGTTGTGTCCCATCCATCTATCTGTTGTTTCACCAATACCACATAGTCCTGATAGTCATAGCCTTATGGAAAGTCTTAAACTCGGGTAGTGGGAGTCCTTGCACTTCTCTTGCAAAGTTCTTTGGGCTATTTGAGGTCCTGTAGATTTCCATATAAATTTTAGAATTAGTTTGTCAATTTCTGGAAAAAAAAATATATATACTTCCTAGGATTGTAATTGGAATTGTGTTGAGTCCATATATGTGCTTGGGGAGAATTAACATCTTAACAATATTGAATCTTCTGCTTAATAAACATGGCACATGTCCCCGGTATCTTTTAAAAACTATGTACAGATGTTTATTGCTACACTTGAAATTTAAAAAAAAGGCCAAAAAACTGGGAAGAGCCTAATTGTGTATCATGAGGGTGCTTAAATTATGGCAGGGTCATCACTGAGACCTGGTCATTGAGAAGAACCGAGGCGATTCCTGTGTGCGCTGCTATTGAATATCTCTCAGATAACACAAGACGAAGTAAGGTGCAGAAGAGGATCTACTAAGCTGCTATTCATAGCTGTTTCACAGACAAATATAATGCTTAAGGAAGCATGAAATAGATCTGGAAAGACGTCGAAGAAATAGCTGGTTGCCTGGGAAGAGATTTGAAGGCCTGGGTATAGACGTGAGAAAAATGTGGAAGGCATTATTCTGGTTCAAGGGAGAAAGCATTTTCTGATATTTTGAGTGAGAACTTACTCGAAGGGTAGGCTACTACACTTGGAGAAAGGGCTGTGTGTAGCACAGCAGCAGGACGTCTCAGAATGAAGGGAACAATGTCTCACACACAAACGAAAATTCTGCTTCCATCACCCAGCACCGTATGTTTGACTTGACATTAGTGACAGGTACTTGCACAGCCAGTGCCCAGAGGGGAAATGAGACGTGGTGCACTGTGGCCATGGGGCGTGCCGCTCGAGTGCCCTGAGCTCCAGTGCTCACGTGAAACTGGCATAGCACCCTCCCTTTCCAGGATTGCTCTCCTGACCAGTGACGGTGGGTGGATCAGGCCCCCCGGGGACAGTGCCTCAGCCCACTGGCCCTTCACCCTTACCCTGTCTTAGAAGAGTCTTGGACTCAAAATGGGCAGTGGCTCTGCCAACGTGCTAGGAGATTGGCTACTAGCAAGAGTTGGCCTCCCATTTGTCCTCCGTTGGGCGAGGTCCCCCCCCCGCCTGGGCACAGCCACGGGCTTGGGCGCTCTGATGCCCCAGCTTCGCTCTCTCCGTCTCGGCAGCGAGTGCCAACACCAGATCATGTCCATCGATGGTGAGATCGAGGCCTACAAGAAATCCATCATGAAGGAGGAAGAGAAGAACGAGAAGCTGGCAAGCATCCTGAACCGCGAGGAGACGGAAACCCACCTGATGCAGAAGCTGACCACGCAGTGCCTGACCAAGCTGGAGGCGCTGCAGAATGAGTTCAACACCTACCGCCTGGCGCTGCAGGCCACAGAGGACGCGCTGGGCAAGGCCCAAGTGGTACGACCGGGTCCCCCAGCCCGCGGGGCGCGTCCCTGCAGCCTCCCCCCCAGCACCCACCTGCCCCTTCCTTTTTTTTTTTAATTTTTATTTATTTATGATAGTCACACAGAAAGAGAGGGAGGGAGGCAGAGACACAGACAGAGGGAGAAGCAGGCTCCATGCACTGGGAGCCCGACGTGGGATTCGATCCCGGGTCTCCAGGATCGCGCCCTGGGCCAAAGGCAGGCGCTAAACCGCTGCGCCACCCAGGGATCCCTGCCCCTTCCTTTCCAGGAGTGCACGGCCACCATGGGCGAGCTGCAGTCCGTCCACCAGGCCATCCAGCACGAGCTAGAGCTGAGGAGGAGGATGGACGCCTCCATCGTGGAGAAGCTGCAGGAGCACATGACCTCCAACAAGATGACCAAGTACTTCCACCAGCTCATCCTGAAGCTCCAGAAGGAAAAGACCAACCTGGTACGTGCCCGGTCGCACTACGGCCGCGGGGGCCGGGCGCCTGGGTGGCGGGCGGGGAGGCAGCGCTCAGACCCAACGGAGCGCACTCAGAGGAAGCCGGGTGAGCGAGGGGCCCTCAGCGTGTCTGCTCACTTTTCACTTTGTGCTAGTTGTAGAAGCAAGCACTTTTGTTGTAGAAAACCTGGAAATACAGAGGCACAAAGAGGCAAATAAGACATCTATAATCCCACCGTCCAGAGATAACCTCCCCTAACAGTTGAGTATATTTCCTTCTGGAACTTTTCCTGAACACACACGCTCATACTCACGCACACGACCAAATATGTGCACACACAAGGTCACACGCAAACACACATGCATATAAACATCCCATCCCGATGCACACGTGAGCCAATGCACACATGCAAACACACTTGTACTCACACATTCGTGCAAACATACACATGAACACATGGATTGCACACACCTTAAACCACATAGGGCTCTTTTCATATATTGGTTTTAAGTCTATTCTAATTCATTTTAATTCATTTTACTGAAATATGACATGCAGAGAAAAGCGCGCAGATAGTGTAGGACTCCACGAATTTTCTCACGGCGTAGATACTGTTTTATTTTACTTTGAACACAACATTTTCCATGAAATGGTCCTCAAAAACCTACACTTTCTGCATGACATCTCATCATACAAATGTATGTATTTTGCCTAAAAATTTTCACTTCGAGTTGTTTATAGATCTTAAACATCATAAACAACTCGGCACTGAGCATGCCGGCCATACACCTTGGTCCACACTTCGGAGGAGCAGCTGCTACAGCAGAAACCCTGGTCAAACGTTAGGGGAGGCGGAGCCTGTGTCCCGCTGAGCCTGGCCATCCTGGCCTGGGCAGCCCCCCCACAACCGGAGCCCTCTTCTGCTCTCCCAGGGGTCTTGCTTCACTCTGAGCTGTGGTCGGGGGTCCCTGTGTCCTTCAAAAAAGCAGTTCCTTATGTGAATCGTTCCTCTTTGCCTCTTCTGGCGGTGTGACCCCCTCTGGCGTCCCCTGCCTCAGTGGGCCCTCTTGAGGAGCCCATGGAGGCCTAGAGCACACCCCAGCAGACGGCCTGCCCCACGGGCCCCCTCAAGTCTCAGGAGGAGCAGTGGGCCCATTCGGCCCGCTTGCGTGCAGCAGCAGCACCACAGACATTTTCCTTGCTCTCCAGCCCACTGGAAGCTTCCATCTGAGGGTTGAGAGATGCAGGGGACGTGGGCCACTCCCGGCCTTAGGGTGAGAGCACGAGTCCTGTTCCCACATGATCCTGGCCTTTGCCTGCCCTCTTTCCTCATATGAGACACCTGGCAGGCTTTGGGGTAAATCTAACGTTCATTCCAATGAGAGCACAGTGGCTGGGGCGCCGGAGGCAGTGCCCCTAAATGCCAGCGATCGATCTCCACCGTTGGCAGGTGGATACTGGCCAGGAGGAGGCCCAGCTGGTGGGGCTCACCTGTCCTCCCGGGAGGGTGGGACTGCTGTCTACCTGGCCGCAACCTGAGGCGTCCCATCCCTCCCGGACCCCTGGGAGGAGGGCAGCTTGCTCCTGGCCTGGGTATAGCAAGGAAGCGGGGAGACAGGGCCGTACTCAGCTGGGTCCCCATGGGAGGTCCTATCTGATGCTGGGGGCGTCCCACGCACCCTTTCTCTGGGACATGGGGGCAAGACTACCTGCGGGCAGCAAAACTAGGGACCCGGGCTGTACCAGAGAAGCTAAGGAGCACGATGTGTGCGAAGTAAGCCACCGGCCCTTCCACCAGGCTGTGCCTGGGGGCCACCAGCCTCCCGGTCAGTGGTACACACGCGACCGCCAACGTCCAGTGGAGGGCAGTAAAGACTCTCGGTCCCACAAATTCATCTATCATGACTGCCCGAGAGAGGCAGGTCCGGCTCTTTAAAGGGGGGGCTCTTTTTCCAAACTGCTCAACCCCCACCCCCCAGGATCTGGAGCTGGGGTCCAGGCACAGGTCACCCATGGGTCTACAGGTCAGCTCAGGACAAGCACTGACGTTCCAGGAGAGGCCAGGTTGGTCTCAATGAGAGTGGGCAGTCCAGGAGCAGAGGGGCGCAGTCCCAGGCAGAGGCATGTCCAGCTGGTGGCCAAAAAGAGGCTCAGGAATGGGAGCCCCGTAGGGCGGCAAGCACAGGGGAGGGGGGGGGGGACACCCGTGAAGACCCGGCCATCCCACACAGTCCTGGTGAAGAAAGAGACAGGTGGCTTCGCCTGAGCTCCGAGGGCCGCAGGGCTCAGGAGCCTTAGCACGGCAAGTGGGGTGACCGAGACCCTGGAAGCTCCTGTTCCTGGCGGAAAACCTAGGAATGCTGGGTGTCCTGCCGAGTCACTCATGGTGGCTGGTCAGAGAGGGCAGGGCCTTGGGTCAGAGCTGAGACGACCCTGGGGACAGGGAGCTGGCAGGAGCCAGGGGCCAGGAGAGAGCTGAGGACTTGCGTGGGCAAGAGCTGGTGGGTGGGACGGTAGGGTCGGGGCAGGCCCAGAGCCCGCGCAAAGACCCCACTTCCAAAGGGGCCTGAGCGGCTGTGCCCTGCTGCGGCTCCCTCTCTGGTTCTCACACATCCTGGCAGTAAACCCTCCGTCCGTCTCGGAAGGGATCGAGTGAATCCTGAGAGCCACCACGAGAGGCAGGGGGCTGCTGGTCAAGACGTTTAGGACAGCGGGCGTGCCCTGAGAGGCCCTCAGCCGCTCAGCCATGGCTGAAGCCCCCGCCCCTAGAATCCAGGGTTGGCAAGAGCCCGGGGTCGGGGGCCTCCGCCTGGGTGGCAGGTGACACCCCAGTGAGAGTCCTTCTTTCCACGACCATGTCTGGCTTTTCAGCTAAAGGACACTTTTTTTCTGTCCCACCGAGTACAAACTAGAGGTGGTTGTGTTCGCCACGGCATTCCTTAGAACAGGAGCGCTGGAACAGGTCGTAAGCCTGCAGGCGGAGGAATGGGTGTCCTTCACCGGGACCCACCCGCTGTCCCGGCCGGCCCCTGGGCACCGAATCCAGAACCGTGGGACAGGACGAAGGAGGAGTGCTGACAACTCTGACCTCCTCCCTATGTTACAGACAGAATGGAGTATTACGCAGCCATCGAAAATGACATGAGCACAGAGGTCAAGACTTAGCTAATCAGGGGGCACCTGGGTGGCTCAGGTGGTTAGGTGTCTGCTTTCGGCTCCGATCGTGATCTCAGGGTTCTGGAATCGAGCCCCACATCGGGCTCCCCACTTCTCCCTCTGCGTGTGCTCTCTCTTCCTCTCTCTCTCTCTCTCAAATAAATATAAATAAATAAAACCTCTCTTTAAAAAAAAGATTTAGCTAATTAAAAAGTGGCTTACAAACTTACATGCAGAGTGTGGTCCTGTCTCCGGTTTTGGGAGGAAGATGGAGAGGAGGTTTATATGTAAAGGGTGTAAGGGCGGATAGGCTGACCGTGTGGCAGACGCTCAAGGAAATGACAGGCCGGGCCTGTCCCCTAGAGCCCCACCCCACCCACCCCACCCCACCCACCCAGCCCTGCCCAGGGAAAAAGGAATGTTCAGACACGTTTCCTTCTGCTAATTCAGGTGACACATCTTTCCAAAATCGACGGCGACATAGCTCAGACCACCCTCAACATCACAAACACCAACTGCAGGCTGGACATGCACCAGAAGACGCTGGGCGAGCTGGACAGTGAGGTGAAAAAGGTCAACGACCTCATCACCAACAGCGAGAACGAGATCTCCAGGCGCACCACCCTCATCGAGAGGAAGCAGGGCCTCATCAACTTCTTCAACAAGCAGCTGGAGCAGATGGTCTCTGAGCTGGGGGTAAGACGGGGGGCTGCTTGGCGGTTGTGCCCGGCCACCTCGGGAACCCCTTACACTCAGAAATAAGTCCCCATGGGGGGGGCACTCCTTTCCCGGCCCCTTCAGCGGGTGACGTGGCACCAGCGCGGAACGCTCCAAGCCGGGCGAACCTTCTTCTGTCGAGGTCCAGAGAGTCAATATTTGGGACCAGACGGTCTCTGCCGAAGCTACTTACCCCTGCTGTCCGGGCCGGAAAGGCCGGTGATACGTAAACGGATGTGTTGGACTAAGCCGTACCTGTCGCCCCTGAAATTTGACCATATGACTTTCTCCGGACACAAAATTTTCTTTTTTTGTCTTGTCACGCAAAGGCAGTGGGTGGGGCGTGGCCCGCTGACCGCTGCTCTGAGTGAAGTGGTCTGATGAGTTTGAGGCCTGAAGTCCTATAGGAGACCCAGGCGTCCCTCCCGTGCCCCCCCCCAGGGGCTTCAGGTCTAGGCGTAAGATGGCCCGCTGGGGCACGCTCTCAGGTAGACCCGAACACCGGAGAGCCCTCGCAAAGCCGCAGCCCGAGTGGAAGCCGAGGGAGTCAAGGCCCTGGCCCTTGACCACCTGCTCGTAAAACCTCCAAAGCCCCTTTGGGGTAACGGAGGCCCCGCCAGCCCTGCCCTTGGCCCCTCAAGTCTGCGGCACGGGGGAGAGGGGGCCACAGGGTCTCCCACAGGGAGCCGGGGGGCATCCGGGGAGAGGGGGAGCCCTGGTGCCCCCGAGGAAATGCCCCCAGTCATCGTACAGATGCGTGACCTCAGGGCTCCCCACCCTCCACAGCCCTCCCGGAAAACACACCTTGGAAAACAAGGAGGCTCGTTTTGCTTTTTCGGGGACCATCACTTTTAGGGGGAAGAAGTGGGGCCCCTGGATCTTGAAATCAAGAGGCTGACGAAGCTGATGGAAGAACACAACAGCAACGTGACGCAGGCCCAGGTGACGTGGCTCCGCCTGCAGCAGGAGATGGTGAAGGCCACTCAGGAGCGGGAGGCACAGCTGGTGGCCCTGGACACGTTCAGGAAGGAGGTGCACATCCTGGAGCAGAAGAAGCTGCGGGTAGAGAGTAAGCGTGGGGCGCGAGCGGGGACTCCTGCGGCTCAGCCCCGGGAGGGTGTCCCGGCCCTCCACCAGGCCCCGAAAGCCAGCCACAGGCTCGCAGCCCCCTTCATAAACATGAGCCCGTTGCCCTGTCGCCGGCACGGGAAATACCGAGGACACGTACCGGGCTTGCTAAGTGCGCGGAGTAAAGGTGTAAAGGTGCCCCCGGGCGAGGAGTGCGGAAGGCCTGCTGTCCTGCCGCCAGGGGCAGCCTGGCTGGGGGTGCAGACGTGCGGAAGCGACTCCGGGCTCATCCCCCTGCTCGGGCACACGGGGGACACCTCGCGCCCCAAACTCAGGGCTGTGGGAAGAGAGTCTTTCTTCCTCTGCAGCTGAACTTAGGAAACTCTGCCACCAGAGCCTCCCCGGCCCCTGTCTTGCCCCCGATGGTGTAAAGACCAGGGGTCTCTGCTATGCCAGGGCGCCCCTCGCGGCCCCATCCACCCCCAGGGTCCCCCACTGAGGGATCCTGGGCCCGCCTGGCCCCACCTGGGTCTCCGACCAGAGATCCATGCAGGTCAGCTCGGCCCTGTGGCCCCAAGGGAAAGCTGCCTGGTGGTCGGGGTGCCCTCTGCCTGGACACCTTTGCCCAGAGGTCTTGCTGCCTTCCCAGCCTGCCCTGGGGGCACCCAGACGCCTCTGATGGGGATCAGGGTGGTTGTTCTCTGCCCCCTGCCCCTGAGCTGGGTGGGGCAGGGCCCGCCTTTCCCGGAGACCCCAGGTCTGAGCGCGGTCCAGGTCCCCGCAGGTGTTCTCGGGGCAAGGGAGCTGCCCCCACCACCACCCCGGCCCCCGACCTCTGGCTGCCCACACAGGGCACCAGCTGCCCTGTCCAGTCCCTCAAAGGGCCTGGCTTTGCCAACGGAGCCCAGGAAGAGGCTCCCGCCCTGCAGCCCAGCAGGGCCCTGATGGGGTGGGGGCCACCTGGAAACACGGGGCTCCGCCCACGTCCCCTCCCTGCAGGCAAGATCGATCAGGAGAAGAAGGAGCAAAAGGAGCTTGAGCGCCACATGAAGGATCTGGACAACGACCTGAAGAAGCTCAACGTGCTGATAAGCAAGAACCGGAGCAGCTCTGAGGGGCTGCAGCAGGACAACCTGGTGATGGAGAAGGAATTCGTGCGCTCGCTGAAGGTGGGGTCCCGCGCCCGCTCCAGGCCCTGGGGCTCCCGCGGGGGTGCGGGGCCCTGGTGTCCCCCCGGCTCACCCCACAGCCTGCCGTGCCCTGTCCCCACGCAGGCCTCAGAGAGGGAGACTATCGAGATGCAGGAGAGGCTGAGCCAGCTGCAGGAGGAGAAGGCGGCTATGCTGAACAACCTGGTGGAGGCAGAGTGAGTGCCCCCGGCCCCCAGCCCCCCGCACCCCGGCCCCCCGGCCCTGCATCACTGCCCCTGGGCAGCTCACGGGTGCCCACCGCCCCGCTACACCTGCCCAGCATCTACACCTGCCCAGGAGCGGCCCTGCAGCCCACGTGGGCAGGGAGTGGTGAGGGGGTTCCAGGGAAGAGCAGGGTGCCGGCCACCCGCCCTCACGCACCCAGCTTTGGGGGGGTGCGGGGAAAATGGAGTGCCTTTCTTTTGGGATAACATTTTTTTAAATGATTTTATCTTTATGATGGCTGGCTGTGAGAGGCACCCACCCGCAACCGCAAGCGTCCTAACCCCTAACAACGTGTGCAAAGCGAGACGGAGAAAATCACACCTAATTCCAACTCCCTCCCTTTACGGGGAAACCACTGTGCAAACATCCTTCCCGTCTGCTTGCTTTTAAAACAACAAGGAGGCTGTTCTATGTGCTGCCCTTTGAGGCAGTTTTTTGTAATCATGAGAGACACAGAGCGAGGCAGAGACACAGGCAGAAGGAGAAGGAGGCCCCATGCAGGGAGCTCGGCGTGGGACTCGATCCCAGGACCCCAGGGTCATGCCCTGGGCTGAAGGCGGCACTAAACCGCTGCGCCACCCGGGCTGCCCCAGCTTTTTCTTCCTTATGGAAACTTCTATCCCGTGCATGTGGTTTTCTCATGATTCCTGATGTCACCTGCTGTGTCCTCTGCCTCTCTTCTTATGCCCATGGCTTGCCAGCGTCACTGGCTGGCAACCCTCTCTGTAAAGAGCCAGATGGGCCATGCTTTCAGCTTTCGGAGCCGCACAGCCTGGCCGAGGCCACGTAGGTCAGGTGTCACAGCTCGTGAGCCCCCATGGACGACACAGAGGCAGACAGGTGTGGCTGGGCACCAACAAAACTTGACCAGTTGATGCAGAAATTTGAATTTTACATTCTTTTTTTTTTTTTCCATACTCAGTCTTTGAAATCCGTGTATTGTGTCCTTATGGCACACCACGATTTGGACTCAGCCGCGTTCAAGCGCTCCGTAGCCACATATGGGCACCAGGGCACCGTACCCCGTGGGACAGGAGAGGCCAGTGCTGCTGGCAGCTGGTCTGGCTGTGACAGTGTCTGTGGGTCCACATTCCTCCTTCCACTGGGAAGGCAGGGGGGTGCCCATGAGGCCGAGCCCGTGAGCCCCGTCTGCTCCCCAGCGCCTCTCTGGGAGCTGCAGAGGGGAGAGGCCACGGCGGGCTCCCCTTCAGGCGTGCTGGGCGGGCGCTGGCAGGCTGCCCCGGCCCCTGAGCACTGCAGGGGAGGAGTGTGGCTTCCGGGTCGGGTCGTGGAGAGGGAGAGGACAGAGAGGTCAACCCCCTCCCTGAGGGGGCCAGGTCCACAGAAAGTCGGGAGGCCTCAGGCCCCACTCTGGTCTGCAGGCGGGCCGGGGCCCTTCGCCCTGGGCAGGGGGTGGGTGGGTGGGAACTTGAGAGGGCACACAGGTCCCAGAACGGGGGAAATTTGGTTCTGTTTGACCGTCAAGCCCTTCACTCGGTGCCAAGTGCAAGACAGAGAGAGAGAGAGGGAGGGAGAGAGAGGGAGGGAAATAGAGAGAGAGAGAGAAGGAGAGGGTCCCGGGTACCACCCTCCCTCCACGCGCTGTGGGGCTCAATCTGGCACGAGTCCTCAGAGCAGAAGCTCACAGGCCTCAGAAAGAAGTCTCCTGGGACGCCAGGGTGGCTCAGTGGTTTGGCACCTGCCTTCAGCCCGGGGCCTGATCCTGGAGACCCAGGATCGAGTCCCGCGTGGGGCTCCCTGCGTGGAGCCTGCTTCTCTCTCTCTCTGCCTCTCTCTCTGTATTTCTCATAAATAAATAAAAATTAAAAAAAAAGAAGTTTCCTTAATTTCTCCCCACTCTCCCCCTGTGTCTCCCACCTTTAAAGACACCAGATCATGCTGTGGGAGAAGAAAATCCAGCTGGCCAAAGAGATGCGAGCATCGGTGGACTCCGAGACAGGCCAGACAGAGCTGCGAGCCATGAAGGCGGAGATCCACCGGATGAAGGTGGGTGCGGGGTGGGGGCGGCTCTGGGGCGCCTGGCCTCGCTGGGGGGCTGCTCCCTTGCACCCGCCCACCCGGGCTCCGTCCACTTGGTTCCTCCCGCACGGAGGCGATTACAGACACCGGGAGACACGCACGCAGCCGTGTTTTAACCCTCACCCCGTGCACTTGGTGCACCCCGACGTTTCCGAGGGCTGATGGTGGGGGCCCCCGCCCCCAATCTCACCACCCACTGGCGGAAGGTGCCCCTGCTGCTGAGGGAAAGGGGCCTGGCTCAGTAAAACGCGCTGGAGGACCCCACGCGTCTCTCCCCTGGGAGCCCCGCTTTCCGGAGCTGGAGGCCATCACCTCGGTCAAGGCTGCAGGAGAGCCTCGGGGTGCGGGGCAGCAGCTCGCGGGAGCACACGCGCCTCACTCGGACCAGGGCGCTTTTAATCACAAAAGACTGTCCCCCTGGGTCTGTGGCACTCAGGGGCACCTGATCAGGTGCACGTGCTGCTGCCAAGTCCTTCACACGCTCCACCTAATGGACTTTCCAAACCACAGAAGCCACGTGCCGGCTGCAGCCGGGCAAGCGCCTGCGCACACGGAGCCCCCTTCCCGCCCCTGCTCCTTGCGGTGCTTTCACTTCACAAAAATGGGCTCCGTGCGGATAGCTCAGCAATTTTTAAAATACTTAATTTATTTATTCACGAGAGACACAGAGAGAGGCAGAGACACAGGCAGAGGGAGAAGCAGGCCCCACGCAGGGAGCCCGACGTGGGACTCGATCCCAGGACCCCGGGATCATGACCCGAGCTGAAGGCAGATGCTCAACCACTGAGCCACCCAAGTGCCCCAGCAACTTTTTTTAAAAAAATACAGACGTTAGCCGAGGCCTTAGCAGTTACAGAAAGTGCTCCAGACACAGCCTAACTTCTAAGAGCATTCCCCGGCAGATGACAATCCAGACTGTCCCGCTTCCCGCCGTTGCCATCACGCCCTTCCTGGCTGGGTTTCGTCTGTTTCCTGTACACTAGACTCCCAACAGCGGGACTACGGGCGTGCCTGACCGGAGCCCCGCGGATCACTGTCCCGGGAGGCGCTCGAGGGCGGCCACCGCGTCCTGACAGCCTGGGCCCCTCCGGGTGTTAGCCACCCAGAGGCCTTCATTTTCAAATTGGGGCGTTTGTATTTTCTTTTTAAGGATTTTATTTATTTATTCATGAGAGTCACAGAGGGAGAGGCAGAGACACAGGCAGAGGGAGAGGCAGCCCCCCCCCCCCCGGGGAGCCCGATGCGGGACTTGATCCCGGGCTCACGCCCGGAGCTGAAGGCAGATGCTCAACCGCTGAGCCACCGGGACCCCCCTGAATTGGGGTGTTTAACTGAGCTCGCCCTGGTGGCGTACAGTCCCGTGAGCTGTGACAAAAACACAATCACGTAGCCACTACCACCATGGGGCACGCAGCATCTCCGTCACCCTCGTGTCTCCTGTGTCCCAGTCCCCGACTCTCCCAGGACGTCACAGAAGCGGATCCTGCAGCACAAAGTATTGTTGAGTGTGGCTTTCCTCACTCACCGGCGGTGCCTCTAAGAAATCGTTGCCCCGCCCAAGGGCACAGATGCTTTTCTCATATGTTTTCTTCTAGAAACTTCATTCTTCCACATTTTCTGTTCCGGGACGTTGAGCACGTGCGTGTGTGTGTGTGTGTGTGTGTGTGTGTGTGTGTGTTGAGCACTTCCTCAACGTCCTATGTCCATTTTCTTACTTCTTAGCAATTTGGGGTAGTTTTCTGCACGTCATGGTTACTAACCCCCACCTTGGACACCTGTCCCCAACGTCCTCCCTCGCCTGCTGCTGGCCCGACACTCCGTGTAGGGTCCTTCCCCCTCTCACAGGGTTGCCACCGTTCATGCTATAAGGCGTGTCTGTCTCCCTGTGTGGCTTCTGGGTTTCCCGGATTGCTCAAGACGGTCACCGCAGCCCCAAGTGACACAAATATGTTCCCAAGTCCTCTGCTCATGTTTGCACATCTTTAGAGCCTGAATCCACCCACAATTGATTTTTGGACATGGCATGAAATAGAGGCCCACCCCTGTTCTCGCAGCTGGGGCGTGAGTCGCGCTGGCAGCCCCGGATCATCTGTGTGCGGTCGCCGAGCCACCGCCACGCTGATGACAGCCCTCCTCCCTGTGCCGCCCCCGTCCTGGGCTCCCGGCTCCGCTGCCACAATCACGCTGACAAGGGCAGCGCCAGTGCAGAGCCTGTGGCTACGGTGACCCTAGGGCGAGTGGGCTGGGTCTCCCACCACCACCCTTGACCTGGGGGTGCCTGCCTGTTTATCCTTTTATTCGGAGTCAGCTTCGCTGGAGCAGAACTCACACACAGGGGTGTACTTATTTTAAACGTCCGGCTACAAGGGTTGAGCTCGGGCCCAGATCTCTGCCCCCAGCGCCCGAGAAAGCCCCTGCGTGGCCCTTACACTCCGTCTCCTCGACAACCTGGGTCCCACAGACCCTTCACGTCACCATCTCCCAAAACCATGACTGAGGACTCAACGTCGGTGCAGGTGTCCCCGCCCTCCTGGCTACCGTCCCCTTCCTGGCTGCGCGAGGCGGTCCTCGGTCCATAGCGTCCCTGGCCTCTGGCAGGTCCTGGCTTCTCTGCTGCCCGTGCTTCCTTTACAGGGACCTTCCATCCTCCTGCCCGTGGGTGCTGCCCTCGGCGCGTCCCCCGGCTGCCGCCCTGCCGGTTCAGGGCTCGGCGGAGCTCGTGGAGGCGAGTGCCCCCTCACCGCCCCTCTGCCCTGTGTGCCCAGGTCAGGCACGGGCAGCTGCTCAAGCAGCAGGAGAAGATGATCCGGGACATGGAGCTGGCCGTCGCCCGCAGAGAGACCATCTCGATCCAGGCCAAGGGGCAGAGCAAAACGGATAAGAAGCTGCTCACCCGGACAGACTTCCACCACAAGCAGACAGAGCTGCGACGCAAGATCAAGGACACTCACAAGGTGGGGGCGCCGCGCGGGCAGGAGGGAACGTGTCCGGCTGGTCACTCTGTCCTTCCAGCCGGTGTCCCGGGGGTCCTGCTGGCAGCCCACGGGGTCAGGGCTGCTGTTTCACCAGGCTGAGAAGTGGCCGGAGTGGGGTGGGGGGCACCGGGGGGTGCCGGGGGCGGAAGGAGCCTGGCCCTGGAACAGACAAGCCAGCTGTCTCCCGCTCCCTCTGGGCCTGGGCCCGGGCCCCACAACCGACCCCGTCGGGGTTCTGGGTAAAGACGCAGCAGCTGCCACTGTGCCCCACAGGGTTTACGGGAAGAGCCACACAGAGCGGGGCGGCTCCGGCCCGGAGATGGCCCCTTCCCGAGTCACAGAAATGGCATCAGGGAAGCACGGCTCAGGTGGGAGTCCCTGTCTGTGACCCCGAGGGGGAGCTGGGGACAGGCTGAGGGGCGCTCGGAGGGCACGCGCCCAAGCCCACGTCCTGGTCCAGCGGGCCGTACCAGCCAGCACGGGCTGTGCACCTGCCCAGGGCCCGCGCCCTCGGCCATCGCCCGCGCTGGCTCAGACTCCCTCGGGCCCCGCTGCCTCGGGCCTGTGCGGGGCCTTCAAGCCCACGTTTCCACCTCCATCGGGTGGAAATAGGAGCAGTAACCCCCTCCCGGGTAGGTGGAGGCTCACTTGAGGCAGAAGCCGGCCTCAGTGCCCCACCGGGTTCTAGACAAGCTCTTCCGCTCAAGGCTCAGGCATGTTGCCTGACAGCTCTGTGCCTTGGTGTCCTGGCCTGTGAAACGGGTCCTCATCTCACGGATTCGTCCAGAGGACGACCCGGAGACTGTTGGAATAGCCCCTGTGGGTCTAAATCCTGTAGGAGGAGAGATTACTGAAAAAGGACAGGCCTGACCCGAGGGCTCATTTTGAAGTTACCGGAGGCAGAAGAACGGCCTTTCCTTGGTCCCTGTTGGTCGATCCTCCCTGCCACACTGGTCACTGGTGATGTTCATTCCTCTCCACCCCCGGGGGTCCCTGGCTGCCACCTGTGCCCTACCCTCTCCGACCTCTGCTCCGCTCCAGCAATAGGGGGGCTTGCATCCAAGTCCCCCTGCCACACATTCCCTCATGCGCCACGTCTGACCCAAATTCTCCCGTGTGCCCAGCTAGACCTTGAGAGTCTCTCAGTCACCTCCACATTTACCCACTGGACCCCAGCAGCTGCATCCCCGCCACCCCCCGGATGCCCAACCTCACTCTAAGGAGCCAGGCCTCCTCCACCCCCACCCCCAGGACCCCTCAATCCGTGAGGCCTTAGCTCCCACCCCAGGCATCTACTGCTCCTGCTCTTGGCATGCAGCAGCCCAGCTGCCCCTGGTCCCCATGCCCTCAAAGACCTGCTTCAAGAGGGGGACCCTTATATCTCTCCTCCAGCCATCCCTGCCCATGGGGAACAGTGTGCAGGGTGGGCTTACCTGGGCCCTGGGCGTCTCACTGGGACTCAGCCCTCCAGGCCCTGGATCCCGAGGGGGTGGGGACTCCGTCCCCGGATGGTATCCTTCTGGCCCAACTCTGTCCACTGAGTCACCAGGAGGCAGGGCCCCAGGACAGTCCCGTCTATCTCCTAGGCCACCGAGGAGTGCACCAAAGTCATCTCAGAACTGGAAGAAACTCAAAAACACGTGAGCAGCTCCCTCATGGAGAAGCAGGAGCAGCTATCAATGATGCAGTCCAGCACGGACGAGCTGGAGGCCGACCTGGACCGGCTCCTGGCCCTCAAGCAACAGGTAGGCCAGTCCCGTGAGAACCCAGGGCCACAAGAACCCACCCGCAGCCGCAGCAGCGCATCCTCGGGTGAGGCCTCCTCCCGGCCCAGCTAAGCGCGGAGATCGCAGCGCCGCCCATCGCCCTGTGATCACCTGCTCACCTCGTATTCCCTAATAACCTAATGATGTCGCACATCTTCTGTGGCCCAGGCGCTCCCCTGGGTGCTGGGGCTACATTCTGGGGACAGAGTTACAGATGACAGATGAAACGAATGAAGAAGATCGCTTGTGTCAGGCGCGGGGAGGGGATGGGGGTCAAGAAATGTGGTCTGAGCAAACATTTGAGTCCAGACTTGAAGGCAGCAGGAGAGTGAGCCGGCTGGGTAAAGCGGGGCTGGAGACAGCTCTCAGGGCAGGCCGAGGCCAGGAGGCTGGACCTGAGGGCAGCCCGGCCCCATGCTCGCCAGGGGGCAGCGGTGGGCACGACTTTGGGCTCTTCTCAGGGAGGTGGGAAGACAGTGGAGGGTGTGGGGCTGAGGAGTGGCTTGGGTTTAGCAGGATCACTCTGGCTCTGATGTCAAAGGGTCAAGGTAGACACGAGAGGCCTATTTGAGGCGATGCACGGACCGAGGCAGTAGCCACCAGGCTAGTGCAAAGCTGTGCGATTCTGCATGTATCTTCAGCTGCCCCCGCGGGATTTCCTGCTACACTGGATGTGGTGTGAGCAGAAGAGAGGGGTCTGCAGGGTCTGCGGGGTCTGGGCCTGCTCGGGGGGCGGGGAGGCAGTGGAGTGGTGACAAATATCTCAGCCAGGAGCAAAGGCAAAGGCCCCACTCACTGCCCGCCAGCCTCTTCTCCACGGTTTGGAGGATGCCGGGCCTTCCCCCTTCTCCCCCTGACATTCCCTCCAGTCCTGACTGTGCGGGGCAGTGGGTGTCCAGCTGCACCTCTGCATAACCTGACGCGGGGCCTCGTGTCCCACCCAGAACCTCTCGGAGCTGGTGGCCCGGCAGACTCGCCTCAAGCACCTCCAGGCTGTGAAGGACGGGAGGTACGTGTTCCTGTTCCGCTCCAAGCAGTCGCTGCTGGCCGAGCACAGGCGCCTGGACAACCGGATGGCCACCATCAGCAGCATCCTGGACCACGTGAAGGACGAGTACCCCCAGTTCCAGGAGGCCCTGCTCAAGGTCAGGGAGGCCATCGCCAGGAAGCTGCAGCCGTCTGGGCCCCCCTAGAGAGCAGCCTGCCCCCACCCCGCACCCCGAGCCCAGCATGCTGTGTGCCAAGGTCGGGGCACGTTTGCATCATTGAAAGCCTCGTGCACCCCTGTTGGAGGCGCAGGTAGGCCAGCGCTGCAGATCCAGATCCTCCCAGACCCCAGCGTTTCCAGTGGCCTTTTGGGGAGTCTTGCACCCCACGCAGGCCCACCCGGGGTCGGGGGGGGGGGGCCGCCCACCTCCACCGTTGGGAGTGACCAGAGGGGCCCGCGGTGCCTCCTCCGGGTGCGCGGGGTCCAGGCGGAGGGTCAGCTGCAGGTCCCACCCCGGGGTGCAGCGGGAGCGCCCCGCCCCCGCCCCCAGTCCGGGGCACCTGCCGACCCCCCCCCCCCGCGGCTCCTCCGCGGCCTCCTGGCCTACAAAACAACTTCAAACTCTGAGCATTAAAATAAATCATTTTCTGAAAGCGGGAGAAAGGCGTATTTATCGGGGAGCGCGTCAGCACCAGGCCCCGCCCGCCCCGCCCCGCCGCGCAGGTGCCTCCGGCAGGTGCACAGACCCCCTCGCGCGCTCCCGGCGCGGCCGCCCGCGCAGAGGACGCCCCGCCAGCAGGGGGCGCGCGCGGCCCGAGGCGCGCTCCCTCCCCCGCCCAGGGCGCCTGCGCGGGGGGCCTGTCACGCGGCCTGTCACGCGGCCCGCCCCGCCCCCTCCGGCGCGTGCCCGTTAGCGTGGCCGGGGCCGGGGCGCGTGCGCGGAGGCTGGCGGCGGTGCGGGTCGTCGGGGAAGGAGCCGGGCCGGGTGCGCATGCGCGGAGTCTAGCGGGGTTGGGCGGGGGGGGGGGTGCGGAGAGGGAGCCGGGCCGGGCGCGCGTGCGCAGAGGGGAGCGGGGCCCGGGCCGGGCGCGCGTGCGCGGAGGTGAGCGGCCCCGGGGCGTCGGGGGTCCCGGCGCGGGGCGGGGGGGTCGCGGCCGCAGCAGCCGTTGGACGCGGCCGATTCTCTGCGACTTTGCTGGTGGAGAAGCCGAGCGCGTCGTGCCGGGTCCGCGGGCGGCGGGCGGCGGGCCCCCGGGGACCCCACGGTCACCTCCGCGCCCCGGGGCTGGGGGGGAAACTGAGGCACATCCCGGCGGGGGTGCGGGGTGACCCGGGGGTCAGGAGCCGCCTCCCGGACGGCGGAGCCCCGGGGCCTCCCGGCCTGCAGCGCCGCTCGACCTCCCGACCTTGGGCTTTTCCCCATTTGTGCACAGCTCTTGCCCTCTGCAGGGTGGAGCCGCGGGGGGGGGGGGGGGAGGGCGGGGCGCTGGCCCTGTGGCCCCCCCACCCCCCACCCCCGCGCTGCTGGGCTCCGAGGGGAGGCCGCGGGCACCGCCCACCTGCTGCCTGCCTCCCCGCGATCACAGGTGTGCGTGTCCAGGTGCGGCAGGTGCAGCAGGTGTGCGTGTCCAGGTGCGGCAGGTGCAGCCGGACCGCACTGAGTCTTCGTCCCAGGGCCCCACCCTGGGCTCCTGAGACCCCCCCCAGCCTTGGCAGTCGCGGGGTCTTTCATACACTAATAAAGTGGTGGCTGGGCCTGTGCACAGGCTCAGGGCGGGCCTGGTCCCCCAGAGTGGAGCGGGAGGCAGGAACCCAGGCTGGGAACTGTGGGCCTCCCCTCCCCTCCCGTCCCCCTAACCTCCGGGGAGCACAGAGGAGCTGCTGATGGAGCATCACCAATGAGCGATGATTTAATCAGCTGTGCTCGGGTCACGGAACCAGCACCAGTTGAGGTTCTGAGAGCCTGTGAGCTGGTGAACCCTTTTTTAGAGCGGGAGGGAGGGAGGCCCCCCTGGGGAGGGCGTGGAGGCTCCGTGTCCCCCCGCAACCCCACGAATCCCGTACAATAAACGGGTAACAGTAGGTAAAGCCCTTTCCTGAGTGTGCTGTGAGATGTTGCAGCCGGTTACCCAGCTGGAGGGGGGCGGGGGGCAGGGGGCGAGCCCTCGAACCTATAGCCAGTTATTTGGTCAGGAGCGCGAGTGGCGATGTGGGGCCTGTGACTGGGGTCTGCACCCGCGGGGCTGAGGCCCCCCCTGTGGGGCCTGTTCCAACTGCAGGAACCGTGTCGGGGTTGGAGTGAGTCGTGGGACGCCCACCTGGCGCCTGGAGATTGGAGCAGTTGGTTGGTGTGAGGGAAGACCCCACCTGTCTGCTCCAGCCGTGCCCGCTGTGGCCAGAACGTCCCAGGGGTCTGGTTTGTGTGTGTGTGACCGGCTCGGACTCCCTCGGGCCCTCATGCTAGGGTGTGACTTTTCCCCAGTCCTTGCGTGCGTCTGGTGGCACGAGGGTGCGAGCGTCCTGCAGGCCTCCCGCCGCGCAGAGCTTGCACGCATCGGCTCCGGCTCCCACGACACCAGGGCCGGCCACCTCTGGGACACCTGGACCCGCGAGCGCCAGCTTTGATTCAGGTTCCCCCCACTCCGCTGCGGACCCCACGGCCTCATTAGCTACAGGGCTGTCTCCCGGCACCTGACTCCTCTGCGGTCAGACTTGCCGGGGGTGTGACAGCTCCCCCCGCCTTCCCTGGCAACCTCCCCATTTTCTCTCGAGAGAAAGGACTCCCCTAATTAAATCCTTGCACGTTCAGTCTTGTTGGGATCTTGCTCCCAGCAGCTTTCGTTATAAAATATTTAGAATATACAGAGAAGCACCGAGGAGAACAGGCTTCCCTCTCCACCCTAACCGCAGGGCCTGGGAGGGGCTTCCACCTGCCAGGTCCCGGGCCGTCCCGCCCCTGCGGCCCCCCTCGCCCCATAGCCGCCCCATAGCCGCCGAGTCTTCCTACCAGGCTGTAGCCACAGGTCAGCAGAAGAGGGCCCGAGGGAGAGGAGGGACAGCGGTGGGTTCCCCAGGGGCCCTTCCACTTGCAGCACATTCCCCGAGACGCGGTGACCGCCCCCGTCTCCGCAGAGCGGGGCTCACTCTCTCTGCGTGTTGTCACTCGCTCGTTATACCCGTCGGGCTCCCACGCGCGTCTCTCCGTGTCCTTCAGTCGCCGTAGGCACATTTTAAGTGCATTCCATTCGCGAGCACTCACCGTACAGGGTATTTTGCAACTCCCGCTTCGGGGCTTTCTCTGCTTTCCCTCTTGCCTTCCCTGCCGTCTTCCTAAACGGCGCCCCGAGCCTGTCCGTCCTCGCCTGTCCCGCTCTCTGGGCACACCTCCCCCTGGGCGCCGCGGGGCCAGCCACGGGTCCACATCTGGAAACTGCTGTGAGAGTCCCCGAGGGCCCCCGGCCACCCCGTCCCGCCTTCCTTGCTGAGCGCTGCTCTTCTCTCGGCAGGCCCCCAGGACCCAGCCCCGCGGCCCGCAGGTGCCCCCGACCATGGACGCAAGGTGGCCTCCCAGCTCCCGGCCCCTGCTGGGGGTCTGCACCCTCGTCTGCCTGGCCACCGCTGCCTTCCTGGGCCACGTCCTGCTCCGTGACTCCTTGGTGGTCCCCCAAGAGCAGCGGCGCTTCTCCCAAGGGCCCGAGGAGCTTTATCATGCTCACCAGCAAGGAGCCCGTGACCCAGGCCCCCAGCCCAGCCCAGGGCACCACGGCAGGCCCCGAGCGGCGCCCACACAGTGTGATGTGCCCCCCAACAGCCGCTTCGACTGTGCCCCGGACAAGGCCATCACCCAGGAGCAGTGTGAGGCGCGGGGCTGCTGCTACAGGCCCGCGACGCCCTGGCCCCAGCTCCCCCGGATGGGACAGCCCTGGTGCTTCTTCCCACCCAGCTACCCGAGTTACAAGCTGGAGAACCTGACCACCACGGAGACGGGCTACACGGCCGCTCTGACCCGTAGCACCCCAACCTTCTTCCCCAAGGACATCCTGGCCTTACGGTTGGACGTGCTGCTGGAGACGGAGAGCCGGCTCCACTTCACGGTGGGCAGGGGCCGAGAAAATGGGGGCGGGCAGTGGACGAAGATGGAATCTACGGGGTGTGGGTTTAGTGTGCAAATGGGTTTTGTGCCTTCACTGGGAGCCCCGGAGTGAGTGCAACAGCTCTACGCTCAGGGAGCCGTGGTCACTTCTAACCTGGTTAGAAGGTTCTAGAACATGCTCTAGAGGGCAGGGCACCGTGGAGGGAGGTTAGGTCTCCCCCAGGAAGTGACATCCTACCTGGGACCTGCAGTCCTACAGGACAGGAGTCAGCGGGCGGAGAGGTGGAGGAAGGAAGGGGGAGCGTTCTGGGCGGCGGGCAGTGCAGTCTGATGATCGTCCGCCCGTGAGGCCGGGACCTCTCGTCCGATTTATTCCTTGCGGATCCCCAGCTCCTGGGACGGTGTCTGGCACGTAGCAGGTGCCCAGCAGAAATCCGAGGACTGGGTGTGCGGAGGCCGAGCCGAGAGAGCCCGAAGCACACGACTCATAATAATTTTAACGAAGTAATTTATGTGTAACGGCCAGGCCCGCGTTTAGGGAGTGATTACCGCGAGGCAGGCACAGCTGAGCTGCGTGCTGTGACATCTCGGCCACCCTGTGACGGTCATGCTGGGGGGAACAGTGTTGCCAGATTCAGCAAATAAAAATTCAGGATGCCGGTAAATGGGAATTCCAGGAAACCAAGGAACGAGTTTATTTTCTTAGCATGTGTCTCATGCGATATTGGAGACGGCCTGAAAAGAGCTGTTTCTCTGGAATTCACATCGCCTGGGTGTTCCGTGTCCCACCTGGCGAGCCACACGGGGTGCTCCCCGGCTCTGCACCTGAGGCCACGGAGCCTCCGCTGACCAAAGCGCCCGGGCCCATGGGCTGGGCTGGCCCCGCTGGGGTTTGCATGGGGTCCTGCACCCAGGAGGGTGAGGGCCTCACGGCTCCCCCGTCTGACTTCCAGATCAAAGATCCCGCCAACAGGCGCTACGAGGTGCCCCTGGAGACCCCGCGGGCCCACGGCCGCGCCTCGGCCACACTCTACAGCGTGGAGTTCCAGGAGGAGCCCTTCGGGGTGGTCGTGCGCCGGAAGCTGGACGGCCGGGTGCTGTGAGTGCAGTCCTGGTGCTCCCCCCTGCCCCCCGCAGACCTCCTCACCACCCCCCTGCCGGGAGCCCTCCCTCGGGTCCCCCGACAACCCCCAGGGAGTGCCGGCTGGGGTGGCATCCTCGGGAGGGACGTTTGGCAACGGCCCCACCATGCAGAGCAAGCCAGCCCCCGTGTCACCAGTGCCGGGGCCGAGAAGCCACAGTCGGGTGGGAAGTGGCGCCGCCACCCCGGCCACATCCCCTCATTGCTTAATCTTACTTATAATGAAGTCCCACGTGTCACTTAGGCACCTCGGGCATCCTGTTAAGGCCACGCACCCCAGCATCTCAGGAGTATGCGGAGACTGTCCCCACTGCACAGACGGGGAGACTGAGGCAGCTTGAGCCAGGGCCCTGCATCCACACTGTTGGCCACTGTCTGTTTTGCGTCCCCCTAAGACCTTAGGTTTGCCCAAATTGTTGCTGCCGTCTGTGCCCCAGGGAGTCTGCCCCACCCCCCGCCCCGGAAGCTCGCTGCTGGACCTCCAGCTCCTCCAGCGGCTCTGGGCCGCAGCGGTCGCCCACGGGGTCTCGGGGTTCGGGAGGGAGGGAGGGGCACCAGCCTGTCGTGCCCTCGCCTCCAGGGGATGAGTCACCCCCACCGCCCACACCGCGCCTCGGGGACTGGAGGCACCAAAGCATCCTGGAAGCCGCTCCTGGACTCCCAGGCGGTGGCCGCTGACTCCCAGCGCCCGGCTCGTCCCCTCCCAGAGCGTCCCCTGCCCAGCCGTTGGCGGGGACAAGCACGCTTGCACGGGACGCTCCCTGTGCGCTTGGCCCGCACGGCCCCACGTCCACGCGTGCCCCGAGTTGGCCAGGCTCCTGCTCATCACGGGGCTGCGTTACGGGGTCGGAGATGACCTCGGACCGGCCTTGGTCTTCAGAGAAGTCACCTCCTGGGATGCGGATCTTTCTCTTGTGCCCATTCCTGGCTGAGCCGTGTCGAGCCGCCCTCAGGGCTGACACACTGGGGAGAGGCAGTGAGCGAGGCCAAGTACCAGTGCTAAGAAAGTTCTGGAAACGAGCGGAGCGGACGCGGAGGGCAGGGCTGGCTCTGGAGGGGGGCTACAGAAGGCCTCTGGAGGAGGCTGACCTCTGAGCAGAGATCAGAGAGAGATTTTCTGAAGCCTGTAATCAGATTGTGGTCTTGAAAACACAGGCGCACCCACAGATACGTCCTGCCCGGGGGCAGGCAGGGTGCCATGACGGGCCTCCCGTGAAATCAGCATTAATCGGTATTTCGTGCCCCATCTGTGGCTCCTGCCGTGCCCTCACCCTGGGCAGCCTCGGGGCCTTGGCCACCCCTGGGGGGACAGCTCTACGGGCTCTGGCGCAGGACGGGGCCGCGGTCTGGGAGCGGTCTGGCCCTTGGGAGGAGCTCGAGGGCACAGCTCCTAGGACTGAAAGGCGCAGCGCCTGCTTGCAGCCACGGCGCATGGGGCAGTCCCCCCGTGGACACCCACCCGGTGCATCGTGGGCATAGCCGGGTAGTGCTCTGGGAGTGCTCCACCCCTGGCTCCGGTCCCCGGGGTCGCCGGGCCTCCAGTGCCTGCTCCTGCCCCAGGGCCAGTGCGTCAGGGAGGTGCTGGGCCATCCCGGCCCTCCTCGGGGTGCCAGCCCAGGGGTCTCTCTGGGAGGGCCCCCGCCGCCGACGCAAGGCCGCCTGGGCTCTTCCTGCAGGCTGAACACGACGGTGGCCCCCCTGTTCTTCGCCGACCAGTTTCTGCAGCTGTCCACCTCCCTGCCGTCCCAGCACATCGCCGGCCTTGCTGAGCATCTCGGCTCCCTGATGCTCAGCACCAACTGGACCAGGGTCACCCTCTGGAACCGGGACATCGCCCCCTCGGTAAAGGGGGCAGCACGGAGGGGAGTAGGGGCGCCGTGGGGTGGGGACGCTAATGTGCTGTGTCCATGTGCCCAGCCCAACGTGAACCTGTATGGGTCCCACCCTTTCTACCTGGCGCTGGAGGACGGCGGGTCAGCTCACGGGGTCTTCCTGCTGAACAGCAATGCCATGGGTAAGCAGGGGGGCGGCCTGCCCTAGCAGCAGCCTGTCCCCCCCCACCTCCCCCCGCCGCCGTGTCCCGCAGCCAGTTCCCTGGAGCCCCCAGGCCAAGGCCTTCCTCGGCTGTGGCTGCATCCCCCCTCCGTGGCGGAGCGTGGGGCTCTGCACACCTGTCCCCACAGGTCGGCGGTAGGGGCCTGGGGCCGTGGGCAGGGCGTCGGGCCTTGTTACTCTCCCAAGAAATGAGTCCAGTGGGCGGTGCCCTTGAGGGACACTCTGCCCTCTGAGCAAAGCCGGGGGGCGGGGGGACGTCCTGGGGTCTGGCTGCTTAGCCTTCTCCTGTTCTGCTCCAGGCTCTTCGGGGAGTCAGGGTGACTGTCCCCAGGCCCGAGCAGCCTGCTGCCGGCCTCCCTGGGTGGGACGTGGCTCTTGTTCAGGACGCCGAGGGGCCGGGGGGACACGCGGGGATCTGTTCTGAGCCCAGGGCTGCTACCCGCAGACGTGGTCCTGCAGCCGAGCCCGGCCCTCAGCTGGAGGTCGACAGGCGGGATCCTGGACGTGTACGTCTTCCTGGGCCCGGAGCCCAAGAGCGTGGTGCAGCAGTACCTGGAAGTCGTGGGTAGGCCTGCTCCCCGGCCCGCGCCGCCCCGTCTGCTCCGCGGCCCCCGCGCTGCCCCCCTGCTCACGCAGTGCGCTCGGTGCAGGCTCCCCGTTCATGCCGCCCTACTGGGGCCTGGGCTTCCACCTGTGCCGCTGGGGATACTCATCCACGGCCATCACCCGCCAGGTGGTAGAGAACATGACCCGGGCCCACTTCCCCCTGGTGAGTGCTGGGAGGGCCTGCGGGGCGGGGGGCGGGGGGACGCGCCCCCCAGGCCGGCTGCAGGGGTCCCCGTGCCGTGGCTGCAGGACACGCAGTGGAACGACCTGGATTACATGGACGCCAGGAGGGACTTCACTTTCAACAAGGACGGCTTTGGGGACTTCCCGGCCATGGTGGAGGAGCTGCACCGGGGCGGCCGGCGGTACGTGATGATCGTGGTGAGTGCCCCCCCCCACCCCGTCTCAGGCCTGCCAAGCTCACTGGCCGGTTCCCGGGGGTCCCTGCCGGTGAGGGGATTTCAGACTTACGGACGGGGCCCTGCCGTCCAGTGATGTCCAGCCCAAGGGCCCCTGGAAATGCGCGTCGCTCAGGATCCTCTCGGTTGTAGGTCACGTGGACGGCTTAAAGCAGGGGGGCTGCCCTCCGCTGCCATCCCCCAGTGCTGGAGGCGCCGGGCAGCCGGAGCCAGGGGGGCCTCAGCCGGTTCCCCCTCACGGGAAGGAGGGCAGGGCTCAGGGCAGGGCTTTGGGGCATTTGCTTGTCCTCCCTCAGGACCCGGCCATCAGCAGCTCTGGCCCCCCTGGCAGCTACCGACCCTACGACGAGGGTCTGCGGAGGAAGGTTTTCATCACCAATGAGACGGGGCAGCCACTGATTGGGAAGGTAGGGGGGTTTCTGGGGGCCTGGGATGAGAAAGCAGGTGTCCCCAGCCGGGGCAGGTAGGGCGGGGCACAGGACACTCCTCGGGAAGGGGACGGCATTCAGGAAATCCTCACGCTGTCCACGGGAGAGTGTGTGTGGGGGTCACAGCTGGAGGTGACGGGGGCTCCTGACAGGGATGCCACTGAGAATCCTTCCATGGGGTGGGGGGCTCTGAGCGAGGGTCTCCTCGTCCCCCAGGTCCCCGAGGCGGGGTTCCCAGGCTCTCCCAGGGGGCACCCAGCAGAGTCCCCAACTTCCCGTCCAGGGTGTGCCCACAACCAAGGGGCAGGGGGTCCCAGCCGGGGGCAGGGAGGTTGCCGGGGGTGTAGGTGTGTGAGACCCAGTTCTGGGGCCTGTGTCTGAAAGCGAGGCCTCAGCTGAGTGCCCCGCGGCCCCTACCACCTCCGCAGCCCTTCCACCCCCAGGCAGACGAGCGAGGCCGTGGCTCTGGGGGGCCTGGTCTCCCCTCTGGCCTTTCCTCCAGGTGTGGCCCGGGTTCACCGTCTTCCCCGACTTCACCAGCCCCGCGGCCCTGGACTGGTGGCAGGACATGGTGTCTGAGTTCCACGCCCAGGTGCCCTTCGACGGCATGTGGATTGTGAGTGCCCCGTGGGCTGTGGGTCGGGCCCCAGCCTCCACCCCGGGCAGGCCGCCCACCACCAGGGCCTCTCTCGCAGGACATGAACGAGCCATCCAACTTCGTGAGGGGCTCGGTGTACGGCTGCCCCGACAATGACCTGGAGAACCCGCCCTACGTGCCCGGTGAGCTCTCCCGCCTGCCCGCACGACCAGCTGCCTGAGGACTGAAGGCTCGGATCAGGGGTTTTCCTTCCCTGGCCTGGGAGATGAGAAGGCATCCTCTGCGAGGAGCTGTTGGGCACAGCCCCCCGGGAAAGGGGAGGGCAACCCCAGGAGGAAGGTCAGGTTGGGGAGACGTCAGCCAGGCGACGCAGACCGGGGCACCTGCCGCTGGGCGTGGCCCTTCAGAGGGAAGGTGTTTCGGGGTCAGGGACAGGGACAGGAAGACTTGAAATGGGTCAGGAGCAGGTGTTGGTGAAGTCTGCGGTCGGCAAGGGCAGACGCAGCATCCACCTTGTCCCTGGGAAAGTGGACACCGCACGTACCAGGGGGGCTCCGGGGGCGTGGGGGACACCAGCCGGCCAGCCTCCCCCTCTTCCAGGGGTGGTTGGCGGGACCCTGCGGGCGGCCACCATCTGTGCCTCCAGCCGCCAGCTGCTCTCCACGCACTACAACCTGCACAACCTGTACGGCCTGACGGAAGCCATCGCCTCCCAGAGGTGAGGGGCTCTCGGCTGCCCCGTGCCCCAGAGGGGGAGCCGGTGGTGACCGCACAGACACCCTGAGGGAGCCTAAAGGGGCACCTGTCCTCCCTGGGGCAGCCTGATGGTTCTGGCGGAGCCCCACCTCCCTCCCTCCTCCCGGCCTCGGCTCCCGGCTCCCCGCTGCACCGCCAGGTGAGGCGCTGGGCCACTCGGGCCCCCGGGCAGCCCCGCCCTGCATCGCTCTGCCCCCCTGCTCTGCCCAGGGCCCTCGTGAAGGCTCGGGGGACGCGCCCCTTTGTGATCTCCCGCTCAACTTTCGCCGGCCACGGCCGGTACGCCGGCCACTGGACAGGGGACGTGTGGAGCAGCTGGGAGCAGCTCTCGTACTCTGTACCAGGTGAGGGCACCTGCCGGGGCGGCTGCTTGGAGGGGAGCATGGGCCCAGAACCCAGTGCCAGGCTCAGCTCAGCAAGATGCTGCTGACTCACTGGGGTGGGAGGCCGGCTGGCCTTGTGCACCCATGCACCTGTGCAGGTTGGCTCACCTGTGCACTGTGCACCTGTGCGGGTCAGCTCACCTGTGTGGGTCAGCTCACTTGTGCACCCATGGACCTGTGCAGGTTAGCTCACCTGTGATTCGGCTCACTTGTGCACCTCAGCTCACCTGTGCACCCATGAACCTGTGCAGGTCGGCTCCCTGTGCAGGTCGGCTCACCTGTGTTTGTCGGCTCACTTGTGTGGGTTGGCTCACCTGTGTGATTCAGCTCACCTGTGTGGGCTGGCTCACTGGTTCACCCGTGCACCTGTCCGGGTTGGCGCACCTGTACATCTGTGCACCTGTGTGGCTCAGCTCACTTAAGGTGCTCTCCTGCTCTGGCGGGCAGTGATGGAGTTTCCCAGCATCCCCATCTCCAGTTCGCCCCGGCCGCTGCCTACAAAGCAGTCAGGTTCTGTCCTCTCGTCCTGTCCCCCTGGCGACCACATGCTGAGCCCAGCCCACAGGCGCCGTCCACCCCACCTGACTATGCTCGAGAGCCCTGATGCTGCTGCGCACCAGGCACAGCGACGCCTCGGGAGCTCTGGGAAGGGGCCGGGGTCACCTCCCAGGGTCACCACATGGCGAAGCCCCAGCGGGAGGCTTCCTGGTAGCAGTGGGGCTGCTGCTGTGTGGGGCGCATCTGCAGACCCGGGGGCATGGGGAAGCCCCGCTGGGCAAGCTCTCGGGGGAGCAGCCGTCTCCTCCCAGAGCAGGGCCCAGGCCCCCGCAGGCCAGTCTCCGAGGCCCCTGGGGAGGCCGGTTCCCGCTCTGTGCCCACCCCTCAGGCTCTTGGGCTGTAGTCCTGGCGCACGGCACACGGCTCTTTAGGTGGCAGAGGTCACCCAGGTCCCGGCCCCCATGGCCCTGGGCTGGGTGGGCTCCTGGCCATCGGCTCCTAGGCCCCGAGGGGCCCCTGAGGAGAGGGAGGACCCAGCGCAGCCTGGTCCTGCTGAGCAGTGGCGGGTGGGCACTGACTCGGGGACCTGGGGCCACCTGACGCTCCAGCCACTCGAGCCTGAGCCCCAGCCTGACCCCCCGCCCCCCAGAAATCCTGCTGTTCAACCTGCTGGGGGTGCCGCTGGTCGGGGCCGACGTCTGTGGCTTCCTGGGCAACACGTCAGAGGAGCTGTGCGTGCGCTGGACCCAGCTGGGGGCCTTCTATCCGTTCATGCGGAACCACAACGACCTCAACAGCCTGGTAGGGGCCGGGCGGGGGGCGCGGTCTGCCCTGGGGCCCGGGGGTCCCACCTTGGGCGCGGGCGGGCCGGGTGTCCCGGGGAGAGGCGGGGACCTTGCGGCCCCAGAGCCGGGTGCTCCCCTCCGCCCCCCTCCACCCCCCTCCAGCCCCAGGAGCCGTACAGGTTCAGCGCGACAGCGCAGGAAGCCATGAGGAAGGCGCTCGCCCTGCGCTACTCGCTGCTGCCCCACCTCTACACGCTCTTCCACCGGGCGCACGCGGGGGGCGAGACCGTGGCCCGGCCCCTCTTCCTCGAGTGAGTGCCCTGCATCGGGGAGGGAGGGCCCACGTCCTGCCCCAGGGGGTGTTCCGCGGGCCCAGGAGCCCACGCAGCCGAGGGAGGTGAGGCTGAGCCCCAGGCCGACCCCCCTTCCCGCCCGTGAGACTGCAGCTCAGGGCTGGGGGCATTCCAGGTACGGGGCACCCGGCTGAAGGAGCCCGGGTACAGACCGGGCCCCCAGCTGGGGAAGCAAGCTGTGAAGCCGTCCCGGGGCTGGCGTAGGGGAGGAAGGACCAACACGGAAACCCAACGACATCCCCCAAGTGGGACTCAGACACGTGCAAAGGCGCCGTGCATCCAAGTGCCGTCTCCAGTCAGGGGATCAGAGGAGCCCCGAGTAGTAAAAATTGGTCAGCCGTTTGCAGAAATCCCTTTTTCCCGTCCTGCGGTGCAAACCTAAGTTCCAGACAGATGCGCACTCAGACGTCAAGGATTCAGCTACAGGAAGTTCCGCAGGAACACAGGCCGACGTCCCCCAGTGCATGGCCAGGAGACAGCTTGCTGAGCCTCAGAAGCAAAAGGCAAAGGGCAGGGGGTTGAGTTTAGGAACAAATACTCCTCTGAACGCAAACCGAACAGCTGGCCTCCCCTCAGCGCGGGATCGGGAAGGCCGATCGATCAGCGCGGACGCCAGCAGCACCACCGGCAGCCAGTGTCCCCGACACGTGACAGCTGCAGCTGGTCGGTTAGACCAGGGTCACCCTCCAGCAGACGAGCCTCGGGAAGAGAGGGCAGGAACCCGCCCCGTCCGACCCGGAGGCCTCTGGCTCCTTGGTCTTCCCCAAGGGCTCCTCGGAGGTCACCAGGCCCACACGCCCGCCCCTCCGTGCCTGCAGGTTCCCCGAGGACCCCCGCACCTGGACCGTGGACCGCCAGCTCCTGTGGGGGGAGGCTCTGCTCATCACCCCCGTGCTCGAGGCCGGGAAGGTCGAAGTGACTGGCTACTTCCCCGCTGGCACATGGTACGACCTGCAGACGGTGAGTCCTGGGGACCCTAAAACCGGGGAGGATGGGGGAGACCAGAGGTGTCCCTCCCCCGTGCCGTGCGGGCGTGGGCCAGACAGCCACCCCAGGGCCTTGGCACTGCCCTGACACTTTGTGACGTGCTGTCTCCCTCCAGGTGCCCGTAGGGGCCTTCGGCAGCCTCCCGCCCCCACCTGCAGCTCTGCTCACATCCACCATCCACAGCAAGGGGCAGTGGGTGACGCTGCCGGCCCCACTGGACACCATCAACGTCCACCTCCGGGCTGGGCACATCGTCCCCCTGCAGGTACCTGGGCGGAGCCCCCGACCCTATCTGTCCAGCTCTGGGGCTGCCAGGACCCCACACTGTCCCTTCAGGAGAGGGTCCACCCCCAAATCCTCGGGCAGAGAGGACAGTGTCTGAGGGTCGAAGATGAGCAGCGGAGGGGAGGCCTGCTAACCTCTGGGGGCCTCGCGTGTCCTCCAGCGTGTCTGCCTTGGCCAGCGTGGTCACCCCAGGCGCCCAAGCCCGGCAGCTGTAGGCTGCTGTGCAGATCCTGGTTTCTGCAGCCCAGAGCCATCCCTGCCCGGTGTCCCTCCTGTCCTGACCTGGGACGCCTCTGCCAGGCCTCAGACGGTGACACGTGCCACCTGCCTTTCCAGGGCCCTGGCCTCACAACCACAGAGTCCCGAAAGCAGCCCATGGCCCTGGTTGCAGCCCTGGGCACAAACGGGGAAGCCCGAGGGGAGCTGTTCTGGGACGACGGGGAGAGCCTGGGGGTGCTGGAGCGCGGGGCCTACACGGAGGTGGTCTTCCTGGCCAGGAACGTGAGTCCCAGAGCTGCCCAGGTGGGGGGGCCGCTGTGGGGGCCCCGTCCCCAGCTCAGCCTTGCTAAGGGAGCAGGGCCTGTGGCCAGCCGCCCCGACCGGGTCCCCGGGCACCTGGGGCGCCCTGAGGGTGTGCGCGGGGTGTGCTGCCGACGAGGCCGCACCCCGCGGGGCTCCCTGGGCCGCCTGCCGACACCCCGGTTCTGTCTCCATTCGGCCAGGACACCATCGTGAACGAGCTGGTACACGTGACTAGCGAGGGGGCCGGCCTGCAGCTGAGGAAGGTGACTGTCCTGGGGGTGGCCGCAGGCCCCAGGCAGGTCCTCTGCAACGGCGTCCCTGTCGCCTTCACCTACAGCCCCGACACCAAGGCAAGAGCCCACAGATGGGGCCGGAGGGCCCGGGGCGGCCGAGGGGTGCGAGGTGCCAAGGACGCTGGGCCCCGGGGCCGGCTAGGCCCGGCCGTCCAGGGGTGGGGGATGGAGGGGACCACGGGCCCCCTTGCACCCTGGGCCCTGCCCCTGCCAGCGCCTGCACCGATGACGGTCAGGTTTAAATGGCAGCCCCCGCAGGAAACGCCGGTCCTCCGGGCTCAGCCGGGGAGGAGCGAGCAGAGGCCTCCAGGGCCGGGCCACCCGTGCACCACGCACCCAGGCCCGGGCCTGTCTGCCCAGCGCTCCCGGCCTCACCTCTGATGGCCAACGTTTACCGGTCAAGTCTTATTTTTTTTTTCCAGACCCTGGACATCCCCGTGTCACTGACGATGGGAGAACAGTTTCTCATCAGCTGGTCTTAACCTGGGGCCGGTGGGGCACTGATCCCCTACGGGGCGAGATGGGCTTCGCCGTGGCCTCAGCACCTGCGCGTTCTTGGTCAGGACGTGGGGGGGCCTCGGGGTCAGGAGCGCTTGCCCCTCCAAGCCGTCTCCTGCCGCCGACCTCCCTCCAATACCCAGATCTACATGCACGTCTACCTCCTGGTACCTGGGGCTCTGGGGCTCTGGGCCAGCAACGTGCCTGACAGGTTTTCTGCACAGACCCGACGGCAGCGCCCCTGGGGTTGCCTGGTGTGTGCAGTGTTGTTCTGGAAGGTTTACCTCTCCGAAGCCCGTCACTGGAATGTGCGTGATGTCATCTGCCACCAGCTGCCTGTCTGTGACGGCAGACGTGTGCTCGGGCTGAGGCTGTCATACCCGCACCCCGAGCTCGCGGCACGGATGGCCAGATGAAAGGACAGAGCTGGGCGGCCACCGCAGACGGCTCTCTGGGCCCCTGCCCATCGCGCCCGGCAGCTGGGGGGCTGCCCCGTCCAGCAGTCCGATGAGAGCAGGCCCGGGGACTCGGGGGGTTCACGGGACACAGGGAAACACTTGATCTTAAGTGCAATTATCTTTAATAAAAGGGACATTGCAAGCAAGCTTCTTCTGGTCCTTCTGGAGGTGCCCAAGGGGCATGGGACGCTGCCACCCCACCCTCCCTGGGCCCCTGGACGCCGGGGTGGGGCACGCAAGTGGTGCCGTGAGCTCTGACGGCAGCACGCCCCCACGCCACCTTCCAGCGCGCCTCACCCTCCTCTCCGGGACTGGAGAACGTCCCGTGGGCCTGGGGTCAGAGGCATGGGGTAGGAGGTGTGCCCCCACGCCCCATCCCAGTCAGCACGGGGCTAACTCTCGGCCTGATTCCTCTGAGACGCACCCACGCTGTGCGTCCCCGCTTCACTGCCAAACACGCCTCATCGTGTGGATGTGCCGGTCTGCTCAGTGGGCCTTAGGGCTGGTTTCGATTTCCCGCTAGTTTGAATAAAGCTGCGTTGAGCAATCATGGACAGGTCTTCATTTCTCTTGGGCACGCACAGGGTGACAGGGTCAGGTCGTTGGGGGCAGCGGTGGCGTGGGTGTGACTAATGTTCTAGAAGCTGCCAAACTGCTCTCCAACGTGCTTGCACTGGGCCGCGTTCCAGCGGTGAGTGGCAGGCAGTGCTCCGCACCCTCGCCGCCACCTGGAGCCATCTGCTCCCCTTCAGCCGTTCTGGCGAGAGTGGCTCTCGAGGTGCCCTGCGCACGTCCCCACGGCTCACCAACGCCGAGCATCTTTTCAGGGATTTAGATCGATCACAAATCTCTGGCCTTTTCAACCTGGACTTTTGGCCTATTAGGAAGTCGTATTACGTTGTTTATGTATCTCATCGCTTCTCCATTGCTACTGTGACAAGTCACCACAAACTCAGCAGCCAAAGCCAGCACAGACTGACTTCGTCATGCCGCTGGTGGCCGGAAGGGTGGCTAGGCGGGTGGCAGCAGGGCTGCTTCCTTCCCGCGGGCTCTGGGGGAGAATCTGGTTCCTTGCTCACTTCCCTTGCATGGGTTTCTGAGGCCTGTCCCCGCCCGCTGTGAGCCAGACGTCGTTCGAGGCTTCTAGAGGCTGCTCCTCCTCTTGGCCATGGTGCTTTCAAGTCCAGCGACGGCGGGTTGAGCCCATCAGACCGCTCTGCCCGACTAATGCCGAGGACATGACTGAGTTTTAAAAGCTCACGACGGGCTTCTGGGGGGCGGTGGCCGGGCGGGCTGCTGAGCGTGCGGGGCGGGAAAGAAGAGTTGAGCAGCCGCGCCGGTGCCAGACTTGCGTGGTTGGTGGACTGGCCGCAGCCTCGCGGGCTGCCCTCCCGTGCCTCGCCGGCGGGCACCCTGGCCATGGACACCTATGGGGCGCGCAGTGCAGGACCACGGGGCAGCGGCATGAAGGTCACGTCGCTTGACGGGTGCCAGCTGCACAAGATGCTCTGCAAGGAGGCGGCGGCGCGTTGCGTGGTGCTCCTGACTGCCGGCCCTACCAGGCCTCTGCCGCCGTGAGCGTGCACGGCTCACTCAACGTCAACCTCAACTCGGTGGTGCTGCGGCGGCACGCGTGGCTGCTGCAGGAGGGCGGTGGCAGGGTGGCCGTGGTCGAGCTCGCCCAGGGCAGCCTCCAGTGCCAGAAGCTGCGCGCAGAGAGTACCACGTGCATCGTGCTCACCGCCCCGCTCGCCCGCCTGCCCGCCGGCCCGTGGGTCTACTTCCTCAAAGGGGGATATGAGACTCTGAATGTCCTGAGTGCTGTGTGGATGTACGACCCATTTCACAAGAGAAGGGGGACACCGACAAAGCCCTCGTGAGCCAGCGTGGGAGACCAGCGCTCAGCATCAGCTACAGGCCAGCCTACGAGCAGGGCGGCCCCGTCAAAATCCTTCCATTCCTCTACCTTGTGCCTACCATGCACCCAAGTGCGAGTTCCTCGCCAACCTGCCCATCACGGCCCTGCTGAATGTCTCACGGCGGACTTCCGAGTCCTGCACGACCCACCCACACGACAAATGGATCCGCGTGGAAGAGCCACACGGCCGACATTAGCTCCTGCTTTCAAGCACTAGACTTGACTGTGTCGGGGAAAGGGGAGGCAGGTCCTGGTCCACTGCGAGGCTGGGATCTCCCGCTCGCCCACCATCGGCATGGCTTACCTCACGAAGGCCAAGCAGTTCCGCCTGAAGGATGCCCTCGATTACATCAAGCAGCAGCGGAGTGTGGTCTCGGCCAACTTTGGCTTCCGGGGCCAGCTCCTGCAGGAGTCCGACATCCTACCTTCCACGCCTCCGGCTCCTTCCTGCCAACGGGAGGCGGCCGGCTCTTCATTGCTCGCCCATTTGCAGACGCTGAGCCCTGACGCGCAGGGTTCCTACTGCACCTTCCCTACCTCGGTGCTGGCACCCACGTCCACCCACTCGACGGTGTCCAGCTCGGCAGGAGCCCCATGGCCACGGCCACATCCTGCTAAAACCGGGATGGGGGAACCAGCCCAGCCTCAAGAACAACTATGATTCTGCTTTTTTTGAACTCTGTGGACATTTCATACCTGTGCAATACCGAACACCTCACTGGCCCGCCGCCCCAGTGGCTTGCAAACGAACTTCACACGTACAGCGGGGATAGGTTTTGGGGACCGAAGGAAGGCCAAGCCATCATGAGAGGGCAGCGCGTGCCGACTACCGTACTTCAGACCCCCTGCCCTCTCAGGACCGCCCAGGCCCTGCACCTCCAAGCTCGCCTTTTCATCTCAAGCGCAAGGCAATGAATACCCACAGCAACGTGGGAGAGAGCGGTTGCTAGACCAGGAGAAAAGGCAGTTAGGAAGCCAAGTTGTTCCGAAGGAAGCACGATTCCCACCTTACTTTTGTAACTTTGGCAGTCTCCGCATCTGTCTCTTGCTTCAGGGCACAAGCTGATCACCACCCAGTCAGGAAAGTAACCCCTCCAGGGTGCGGAGGGACGGGATCGAGATGCTTATTTGAACCCTCACATGGTTTTGAGACTCCCTCTTGGGTCCCGTGTGAAGGCAGGTGGTTGAAGTAGCAAGACGCTGACCTGTCTGGGTGTCCTTTCCACTCGGGGTTCTTCCCAGACTTTGGACTTCGCATGATTCTTACTCACATAGAACCTTTCTCGCCACCCCCTCCTCAAAGCATCTCTTGTGTCATTCGAAAAGAGCTCTTCAGGGGATCCCTGGGTGGCGCAGCGGTTTGGCGCCTGCCTTTGGCCCAGGGCGCGATCCTGGAGACCCGGGATCGAATCCCACGTCGGGCTCCCGGTGCATGGAGCCTGCTTCTCCCTCTGCCTGTGTCTCTGCCTCTCTCTCTCTCTGTGACTATCATAAATAAATAAAAAATTATAAAAAATTAAAAAAAAAAAAAAAAAGAAAAGAGCTCTTCAGACCTTAGACCAAAAATCACCCCTTTGACGGGGTGGCCGTGGGTGCCACGAGCAGATTTTGTAATGTGCTACTTCTTTTTTTTGTCTGCGGTTTCTCTCTCCAGGGGAAAAGGCAGTAATTTCCTAAAATCCATATGAATGTGAAGAACAACAGTACGTTACTGGGTGTTACTGTTGTTTTTTATAGTGCAAAATAAAAAGATTAAAATAAAAAAAAAATAAAAGGTCACGATTAGTTTAGGCCCACGTGGACGACGCAGGATGATCCCGTCCCAAGATCTTTTTTTTTTTTTTTTTTTTCCTGTCCCAAGATCTTTAGCCACGTCTGCAAAATTCCTCTTGGCCATCCAACGTGACACAGTCCCAGGCTCCAGAGAGTGGGACCTGGGCGTCTTCGGGGGTCGCTCCATCCACCGCGTTAACAGCCGCCACGTGCTCTGACTGTATGACCTCCGTTGGGTTCATGCTTCTTCCTCCCAGACTGTGGTTTGCCTTATTTTCACAACGATGCCTGTTGAAGAATAAAAGGATTTAACTTTGAGGAGTCCGATTTATAATTATTTATGTCCTTTTTTTTTATTTTTTAATTTTATTTATTTATGATAGTCACAGAGAGAGAGAGAGAGAGAGAGAGAGAGAGAGAGAGGCAGAGACACAGGCAGAGGGAGAAGCAGGCTCCATGCACCGGGAGCCCGACGTGGGATTCGATCCCGGGTCTCCAGGATCGCGCCCTGGGCCAAAGGCAGGCGCCAAACCGCTGCGCCACCCAAGGATCCCAATTATTTATGTCCTATTAAAGAAATCTTTGCCACATTCGCAGTCCCTAAGACTTTTCTCCTGGCTCTCTTCTGGAAGTTCTTGGGCCTCACATCTCAAGCTACTTTTTGTACATGGTTAAGAAGGAACGATCGAAGGTGTGTTTTGTGCACGTGGCTATCCGACCGTTCTGGCCTCTTTTTTTAACAGCAGCATCCTTTCCCCGCCGCACCGCCGCAGCACGTGTTGAAAACCCCTCACCATAAACCTGTGGTCTTTCTAGACGTCGGACCGTGTTCCAGGGTTGTGCGGGGTCTGCCTTTCTGCTGATGCCGCACGGGCCGCTGTAACTTCATGGTGTCCCTGCTGGCAGGCGGAATCCGCCAGCTGCTGGCCTTCCCCAGGTTGTTTGGCTCTGCTGGGTCCTTCCTATTCCCACAGACATTTCAGAAGCAGCTTGTCAATTTTTGCCCAGGTCTCCGGGGGATTTTGATCGAGGCTGTGCTGACCGCAGGATGTGGGGAGAAGCGACACCTGGACCACCCCAACTCCTCCAGTCAGGACGGCACCTCTCGCTCACGGTCACTTCCCACGGCGACGTCCTGTGGTTCTCAGCGCACAGAGCTTACGCGCCTCCCGTCTGATGGGTCCCCAGGACGTGGTCTATTTGGAGCTGCCGTTTAACCCTTTACCCTTCCCTCCGCAGGTGTTCGCTGCTAGCACGCAGGAGTACAAGTGAGTTTTGAATATTGACCTTGTACAGGGCTACGTTTCCTCAACTCAGTGACTGGTGCTAGTGGCCGTGTTGCAGACTCCTTAGGATTCTCCACACGAGGGATCGGGTCATCTGAGCGTTAAGGATTTCTTCCTCTCCACCTGGATGACTTTTGTCCTCTTTGCTGCCTTGCTGTACCCGCC